CCGCGCCGCGGCGCGAAACGTTCGGACCGGAAGACGTCGCGACGAGGAGGCAACCGGACGATCGGCGGAACCGGCGCTGCTACCCTGTAACTTTCCGCGATCGACGCCATTTTACGTAACGTTCGAACAGCGGACGTATGGAGGAATCGAGCCACGAATCAATCGTTTGATAATTGAGCGATCGGTTTTAAAACGAACTTAAACGCTTTTAGATTCGCGTCAAGTGGTCTGTCGACCGGCCAGAAATCGAGGGTCAAGCTTTTAACTGGAACGCAACGTCAACAGCAGAGTTTCGTAAACATCGTTTCGCGAAATTTCAATCTCCTTATTTGTTTAAACTTTTCTCCCCTGTTTGTCGAGTGATGTTATTATTACAAAAAGGTTGACCGAATCGGGCACGTATCGTTTCCTGTATTATTCGAGCAGGGTTCGGCGATGGCTTCCCGCCAGAGAAACGCATCTCGCAGTCGCAAGAATCACGCGGACCGGTTCGCATAGCTGTCGGGAAATTGAAATTCTTTCGAATCAATAACAGTACGATTAACTCGAGAGACGTTGCTCGACGCGGCGGGAGAAAAGGGGACAGAAAGAAACGACGGGGGTGGGCGAGAGCGAAAGTAACGGGTAACTAACAAGCGATGTGATTAAAACTTTATTAAACGGGACGAATGGCCGGGTTTTAACGGAAAGGTACCTGATTTCATAGTTTGCACAAACGCTGCGTCATTGCTTAATTAAACACGCCTCGCTTTAATGTACAACGATCACTTATTTCGTTTCTTTCACTTGTTCAATATCTATCATGATGCAATCCGTAGCTCAAAATCAAATTTAAATTCAAAATTTCATTCTGACGATGGATAATAGATTTAAATCAAGAATAGACCTTTTGTTATTAATGAATAAATGTAAATTCAAATAAGTTGCTCCATAGTTTTACAAGCATTGCAGCTAGCTTCGTCAGGGTTGAAAAGCCACAACAGTAAAACTATTTTTGGTTGGCAGTTGTGTTTAGAATCGACTAATTTTTACGTTGTTCTTTATATCGTGGAAGAATGGCCGTGAGAAGTGGGTTATTAGTTGACCTACTGGTTGGCAAAGAGTTGGGTCGTTGCTTTTCTTTCGCGTGTTCTCTCGCCCGTCCGCAAATACAAATTTGTATTTTGAGCCGGTCAAGAGTTTGTGCACGAAGGTGCCTCGGCAGTAATCCGTTATGCAACCCAGTTTCGAAGTTCAGGAGAGGGACGTTCGTCAAACAATGGTGTAACCCGACCTACGTGGTGATTGCCATTAATCTTCTCAATTTATTTTGTTGTCTCGTTCCGCGGGCTTCCTTGCTTTTCAAAATGCGCCGATCGGTTACTCGAAACCTGGTCTTGGAGCGCCGCGACGCACCGGGTCGACCTGATTTCGACGGATTAGAGGATCACGGTGGATCGTTAAAATCGTTGCAATTCGATGAATTACATAATCAGCCACGGACGTTCTTACAGTTCAAAATAAATACTAATAAAAATCGAGAATATAGTATTCAAGAGACATCGTTTAATGTTTTAACTTGAAATTGTTTTCTAAATTTTATTTAGAGTACAGTTTACTTCAGCATTGAAAATGGCAAGTTTCTAAAGATGCTTCACAAAATTTCACGCAACGAATGTCGCGTTCGATCGTCGATAGAAGAAGAAATATTCAGTGACATGGCGTCCGATTTGATCGTGAATTCAAGTGGAACTTCGGTCGGTTGATAATCGGGACAGATTCCCTATGGTTTCTGTCAGTTTTGTCGATTCGAACTCAGAAAGCCCACGCGTTGTAACTTCGTTGGCCAGTGTTTCTATCAACCGATTAATTCAACTGCTTTTTCTTTTAATTTACTGTCGCGAACAGGTCGCGAGCACATCTCTTACACAAGTTTTAAAACAGGGAAAGTCGACGGTGTTACGCGATGGTTTGTCCTTAGCAAATATCGTTTCCTCAAATATTTATATTCTGGTCTGTACATTCAATATTTGCTTCAAACGCGAGCGACAACTGATTGAAAGTTAACGAAACGTTTTCATAAACATTGAAACAATTTCAATGGCCCTCAACTTTTGTATTAAAATAGCATGGTTTACAGAGTAAAAGGCTTTTCGAAAATCGGAACGAATGATACGAGCCTCGTAGCCTTTATCGAGCGCGGTAGGTATAAAATGGCAAAATAAAATCAAAAGTCGCGACTGACCGATCACATAAAGAGTCACGCTCTGTTCTTTGAAAACAAAGTTTTCGAGTCACCGAATTGTAAAATTTCAATTCATATTGTACCTATACAATCGGTTCTCGGATCCTTTAGAAAGCTTATGGATTCGACAATAAACAACAGCGAAATAAATTTCATTTTCAAATCTTCTTCTGTAATTTTTCCTATAAATGCAGTGTTTCGAAGGCGGTGACAACCCAGGTCACCGAAAATGAGACAATCAGTCTCGGTTAGAGTGCTTCCGAAGCTTTTCTAGGGCACGACGAGCATGTACTCACACGGTCAGTAATCACACGCTGAAATCCTTTTTTGTTGTAGCCGCTACCGAAGAATAGTGGCTGCGCCGAGGATTGGCACTTCACTCATCGCCGACTAACCTTGCACTAAAGCTCTGTCACCTCGCTCGTTGCAACGATAACAAAACTTGCGGACGCGTAGTCGCGTTTTAGTGGCCCTGCACTCGATCAGGGTACGCGGAGCGTGCGAGTGTGCAATTCTTCGCCACTTACAACGGGTCATTAACGATGCCCTCCGCGATCCTTCGTCTGCAACAAACGACGTTTTCTTTCGCACGCTAACTTCTTTGCCTCTTTTCTCGCGTTTCACTAGCGTGCCCTAAAACCATCGATACGTCTCCTTCGATTGTCCGACCAACCTGGGCTGCATCGTGGCACAAAGTTTATTCACGTGAAACATTAAAATACCTATGTTTACACGAAGGTCCACTACTCTAAGTCCAGCCATTAGTTATCGATGATTTCCTTTGACGTCCCCTATAATATGATAGGAAAACATTTTACTTGAAAAAGTCAAAGTGATTTAGCTACGAAAACAAACTGATCTAGGAATTTGTATCATTGTCATTCGTTGTCGATACCAATAAAGTTTTGTCGAATACATTTTTTTGCCAAATGGCCGTAAATGGCTGAAATTGAGACAATTGATAGATGATAGATAGAGACAAATGATGGAGACAATTGATATTTCAATATCAATTTAATCTTACTGACGCCTCCGATTCACCGTGTTATTTCTATTTGTCCAGGGATAAGGATCGAGTAGTCAGCATCAATCTAAGAACGACCTGTTTATTCTTTAGCATTTTCAGACCCAAGCTTCTAGATGTGCTCGCGTTTCTCCTCTCTGCTCTAAGAACACTCGGAGAATAATATGTATAGTAAATACACATTTTTCTAGCATGAAAATCGTAATTTTACTCGACATTGAAAGGGTTAACGACCAGAGGAATGGCGGAATCGTTGAATGGGTCGGAATTTCGGCAGGGACGGATCTCGATCCGATAAAGCGGCCCTAGAGCACAGGCCTGGTGGCCCCGTTACTGGAGGAGGCCTCTATTGTGCGAAACCCACGAAGATGGAGGTAACGTAATGAAACTAACTGGCTTGCTCTGACCAATTAACCGACCCAAGCACGGCATAACATTTAACACACACTCGCCGCGCCTCCCCCTGTTCACGTGGCCGTTTACGCCGTATGTATAGTGTTACATGGAAATGCGTTACGGCGGGAATATCGCGTGTTGATGAATCCGCCGCGAAAGCGTCGCGAGCGGATCGTTTCTCGCGATCAGCAAGCCGGAACGCTTTGGAAACTTGATTTGGTCGCCGGCGAGAAACGAAGCACACGACCCACACGCGGCTCTAATAAATCACCCGCCATTGAAACATTATTTCTATCCTACGGTCACGTTTTCGCGATTTACGCCCTGCTCTTTGGGGTTTCGTACTCGTTATTTAAGACTTTTGGACTTGTCGAAGTTGAAAACCGATTTTTAAAGGAGGCGAAATCGGTGGGAAGTTTTAATAATGGTACCTGGCTGAATAAAATTTGTTTAAAATACACGTACGTAGGTGGAGTGGCGTAAGAAGCCAGGGTGGATCGAGATTTCATAGCGCGAAAAAAATTACACTGCGCGATCGATGCTTTCCACCTGTTTGCATACGCGTGTCTGATCACAGACGGGGACGTTCTACTGCGGCAATAAGGAATCGCGGCGCGCGAACGTTTGCCATTTGAATTTTTAACCCCGATCGACTTCGTTTCTAACCCATGTAGCCTGGGAAGATGAATTTATTCTAAACAATTTTAATTTAACGATATTGTTGATTATAGTATTTACCTATATTAATGATATTTCGTTGAACAATTTGCAGATAACTATAAAACATTTTGGTGGTTCGATCGTGCCCTGAGTGTCCAGGCGAGTAGACTGTCGTTGATCCCCTAAGGAACGGAGTTTAGCAATAAGAATAGAGTGACTGGCGGTATTGGACGCTTTCAAGAAGGTAGAGTAAACAGTATCAACTGGCAATCCCGGCTCCATGAAGTTAGGTACAGAGCCAGAGTAAACTAACACTATTGACAGGATTTACCGAAGTTATACATATGCAAAGCAGGAGTCGTAAATGACCCGGCGATACCGTGAACGCGGAGGTATAAAATGACCAAAGTTCCCGGTATTTTTCTGGAAAACGGTGGTGTTCTTATAGCAATTTCGTCGACTAGAAGAGTCGACAGGCCGGAAAGGAAGCAGGAGGCGAAAGGGGGGTGATGGTATGGTCGAAGTCGTAAAACAATTTTCGCTTCTAACGGTTCCTCGTTCGGGAGGAGTGGAACATGGGGCGTGGGGTGGCATAAATATTCCGAGGTTGCGCATCGTGCTCGAGGTGGCTGGAGGGTCGAGGGTCGAGGGGTAGCGGCGGAGGAGAGCAAGTGGTGCCGAAGGAACACGAGGACCCTGGATTCGTTCGTTTCGCGTGTGAGCTCAGTGCGAGCCCCGCTCCGCGCGAGTGTTCGTCCAGCTGACCAAGGGTGCTGGCATTTCCGCGCGAGGACACTGGCGGTGAGTTTAAATCGACGCTTCGTTCAGCCATCTACGCATAATCGAAGGTCTCCTATCGTGCTCGGTTCAATAACAGCGCGCCTTAAATCGAATCGCTGGCCCGTTAGGCGTTTAACGTTCGCTGACTTCCTCCGCTCGATCATGGAAAATTTCGTTTCTTCTCTTCTACGTCAAATCTCGAACGCTCTGATCAGTGATCGCTAGTGTTTTCCTGGATTCATATTTCGATGTTTCGAGTTGACTCAACGTTACCCGTATCACACAATTTTAACATCCCCCGTGTACTCAAATTATCTGTGACGATCCAGTGCGTTGAAATAACCCTAAACATGCAATTTTATCGGGGTTTCTGCACTTCTTCTGGTAGATCGAGTGCTCCAGCGTGGCTTATGATTAGTAGGATAATTTAATCTGTGACACGCTCCTGTGGGACAGATTGCATAAGTTGCGCTTACCCTGTTGCATGCAACGATGGATAATTTATTATTAAAGTTTTTCTCAAATGAAAGATAGGACCGTTTTTTTTTTAAATTACGTATCGAATAAAGCGCTTAATTTTTCGATATCTTTCGATCCGTTCGCCCTTTAAACATTCATATTCGATAACTGGGCCCCCTAATATTTCGCGAAATATTTCGTTTTAATATGCATCGTGTCGTGGGTGAGCCAAAATAGGTCGGCGCGTGTTGCCGGCACATTTTTTATTCATGCACCCACTACAAAGTCTTCTATACGTCCCAGTCGTCCCGGTCGCTCGCTTTTCCGTCTTTTCTCGTTTATTCCTCTCTCGCGTTTTTTTTCTTTCCCCGTATTTTCTTTTTCACCCTTGCGGCCTGGATACTTTTCACGCGCAAACGATGAGTTTCTGCTTCGCGAAATTGACGACAAGGGATAATGAAAGTACCGTTGCTCGCAACGACCAATATTCACGTCGAAAAATCATTAAATTCGCGTAACGGGGCGAAAACTTCAGAACATATTCGATAAATAAAATTTAAAAAAAAAAGTATAGCATCGAAATGAAATTCAGTTTTTGCAGAACATCATTCGTGGTTGCGCGATAATGTCTAGGTAAAGTTTAAAGTTTTCTTTCATTAATATCGGGGGAAAGTCGAATTTCTACGTGTTCTTGATATGAAACGAATCTCGGAAGATTTACGACTTGTTGGAAAACGAGGGATTAGAAGGACGTCGAAGAATGGGGGTTGAATAGACGAATCACTCGGGGGCTCTCGAAGATGTGTTATAAGTAATATCGCTAGATAAATGAAAGCAAAATGCTACGAGCGTAGATTCTTCTCTTCGGTGTTCGTGAATTACAATTCCCGTTTCTCAAGTATTGATTTTCATGGTTTTTTTATTGCATAAACCAGACGCTAAATACTACTCGTTTCAATTATGTTTCATCAAATTAGTCAAATGGTATCCGTTTCAGAGACGACCGGAAAAGTATCTCGTAATAACCAGTATCACGACATAACTCGAGTGTACCCTACATTCCGACCAAAGGGGTAACAATGCTTCATGTATTTCGTTTGTGGGATTAGCTTGATCCTATTCCCAAGTGTATTGTCGCTCACGAGTACAGGGTGTCCCAGCTAACCCGGAAAAGCTACATCTCTGAAACGGTCGGTGACGCAAAAAATGTCACATAGGGAAATTAAACAGCGACTGGATGCAATTTTATTCATTTTTCCGAATAAAACAAAAATTACAGAGTTTCGTAGGAAGAGTGAAGTTGCATACGTGGATGCACCGATGTACAAAAACGAATAAAATAACAATCGATGCCGTTTTAGACCGTGCAAATTGGCCATAGAACGATTCCATCGAACTTGGCTTTTATCTTACATTTTGTTAATTGAAATTCGTTGGTTACTTTGGAAGATACGATATCGGGGGCGCGAATTACTTGGCCTAAATGTTACCGGCTGAGAAGCCACTCGTGATTCTGGAAATCAATTACACATTCCGCGCTCGCGCGCGCGCGTTCCACACTTCCTAGGAACAGAATTAATCCAGTTAATCGCGACAACGATCGTCGAATCCTCATAATCGTGATCCCCGTGCTCGTGTGTCTTGAACCCGCGTAGCACGAAGCCAGCTGACTGTTTGCTGCGCTTCCTACTGTTTGCTCCGGATTAAACTGCCGCTAAATGGCGACAGAGTGCGGCAATAAAGACGAAATTACGCCTCTTACCTTTGGATAATTATCCGCGACGATCATTCACGGCGTAAAGTATAAACATTGCTTTCATCCACATCATCGATAGATCATTCTCGCGCGTATCCGTTCTATTTAAAATTTTATCTTTTCATATTCACTTTGGAGGAAACGATGACGAATGGAACGTTTACACTTTTCACACGATGATCGTGGACGATTAATATCCAAACTGGAAAAGTGTAAATACGGCTTAACCAAACCGGGCACAGATCGAATTATAGGAAATGAAACGCGTCTCTGAGCGCGCCTAATCGATTAATCGGCGGGAGCTTCGCGATTCGGAACAACGGATTACCGCGTAACAAGCGCTCCTTATCGATTGGCCAAGCAATCGATGGAATAAAAAATTAAGCGAAACCGTAATACATACTTAAGGCACTCTGTTATTAATTCACCACTGATTTTTACGTTGACGCTTTCGACCTTTCGACTTTTGGAAAATCGGTCTAACGATCGCACGATCTCCCCAGAATCTTCCTAACCGAGAAACCCAGTGTCCCAGATTTCCTTTCTTTTAATTTCTATCTGATTTTGCAACCAAGTGGCGTTAAACAAATTAACGATTCCGCAATTTACATTCGATGTTTCGACGTTGGTACAGTTTTCTGGTCGATGGCTAACGAAATGAGTTGTCATGTGTGACACATTATCGATACACCGACGTATTAATTTGATTAAATTACCGATACAGGTTTAGCTCGAAGTTTCCTTAACGCGCGCGTGCATGGATGAGTTTCGGTCTCGCGTGACATTTTAGTTTTCAAATAACAGATAACCGGTTGTTATTTTTATTATACGCACAGGGCAAACTTTCTTTTTTTAGCCCGACGAAACTCTCGAGCAACGTTATAGGAGGAATATCGGGAAGCAGAAGAAATAAATTCGGTCGCCACTCGGTGGCTAAGTTTTTCAGGGGAAATTAAAATCCTTTTGGTGATCCTTTGATTAATGATCCAACGTGAAAAACGATCGAAAGATCGGTTGAAAAGGGTGGCGTTACGTCGACGATAATACTTTGTGCCTTTATACCTCGAGCTGTCCGCCCACGAACCGAATTAAGGTTCACCGGGACATTGGTCATTGATTTTGTGTCAAATGTGGTTACCGGACTACGACTATCGCGTTCACTGCTCATCGAATTGGTTAACATTCGCAAATATAGCCGCTCGTATCTTAATTGTTTGCTTATAATCGAGCGAAAATGAGCACACGCCACTCGGAATTTGCGAAGCTCGAGTTCATTTGCTGATCGACGCTCAAATTAAAAGTAATCTATTGTTTGTACAACATTTAAAATATACTCTGTATATTATACAAAACTCTATTTTAAATAAATTCGCTAATTTTCAGCTCTCTGCGAAACGCGGTCTCATTTATAATTAGCAATTATCGAATAGTTCGCAAAGAATATATCGACTATAAATATTAATATTTCGATACGATAAAAAATTTTCTAACGATGCAAGGACACGGTGGAAATCTGTCGAAGACTTTTGCCCGTGTTTCGAGTCGAATTTAAACTTTGCAGAACCGCGATGATTCCATCGTTGCCCGGCAACAAGCTCCAGCCGTCTTTGAAGCGACAATCTTGTTACTCAGACTTCGATCTTCGGATACTTAATGCAATATCGACGTCGAAATAGCGTCTTGAAAACCAATCTGTCTGCGAGTGTTTGCTTTCGAGCCGTGGATACGTTTTAAATGTAAATCAACGCTGGAAAAGTGAGACACGAGTCTAAAGCTTTCTTACGTAAATCTCTGTCGAATATGCAAAACTGGGAAAGTGCAAGCCCAGGAGTAGTAATATACAAGGTGAAAGTTTTTATAGTCTCCCGATTGCAAAATATATTTTCTATACAAATATGCAGTTGCACAAACATCCATCGCCCGCTTATAATTTAGACAGAACGGGAAAGCTTCAGCTGCAATTGCAATCACTCGCGAATTAGCTCGAACGTAGAGGGTCGGAAATATTTAATACCCTTGTACGGAAGCATTACAGCAGGAAACTTCTGTTGCTCTTTATTCGTAGGAAGTTCAACCTGCTTGTAACAAACGAGTAAACCCCTAATCCGCACGAGAACATCCTCGAATTGTTATGAACAGCTTCCATCTCGAAACAATGCAACGGAGACTTCTTTTGTGGAACTTACTCATTTTGTATAAACGATTTCGGTCGTTTGGTTCGTTAGGAACGTCCAAGACGTTTTAATATTTTACTTCGATTTCAATTTCCGACAGAGAGTCCCAACTTACAAGTTGGAAGTTAGAAATGACGCGGCTCTGAAATCGTGGAATTCAAAATATCGACAGAAGTGTTCGCCACGAAGTTTCAGTTGCCCGCGATTATGGTTGCACACGTTCAGCGTTAGACAGTTTGACAATTCCTTTCACTCGTATCTACTTCCTTCTATCGACGTTAAAATAAGGGGGCCACCGCAAAGAAAACAGAGAAAACTTATCCTCGAGCGAAATGTTTTTAGTTAGAAATAACGATTATAACGTTATCGATAGCAACGTAATTAGTCAGAGGTGCCGCGTATGATTTAATAAAATGTCTATTTCGGGTCTAAATTTTAGACCATCGCCAAAAGCCAAATTCTTCTCATATTTAATATTGTTTCCTGCCTTTATTAGTTTTCGAGGAATTTAATTAAACAGGTATTTGGTCTATAATATCAAGGGGTAGTTTTCACTCTTTGAACACGAATATCAGCCGATACAGAATAAATATAAACAAAATTAAATAGTACAAATTTGTGGAATTACTTACTTGTAATTAAATCGCACGTCGAAGTATTAACGCACACGTGCTTGGAAATAATTTCTGCAATGTGTTCTGATTTGTGGCTGACCTCGAGCACTTCCTCGATCCAATTGGCAATAATGCGGCAAAAATAACACCGGTGCCGCGAATAAGAATTTTGTTCACATTTTATACTAGCCGCGCGATAAAACGAAACGTTCAGTAGTTTGAAAATAATAGGTTGGTACACCAAATGGCTCTGCGTTTATTTTAATACCCGCGGTTAAGTGCTTCTAAAATGACGATTTCCTAGATCATGTACTACGAAGCTTATCAACATCGGGCATAAAATAGTTCGCACGGACTACTGCTTTGTTGCGTAATATGTGTTCGTTTACAGTTAAACAGCGTGCAATAATATCTCGAGCACGCTGTTAACTTTGAAAATGCAAACGATTATAGTCGATTTCCTCTGCCCTGATTCAAACGGAGTCTGGTTAAAGGTTAAGTTTTTTCTGGCCAATCGAATGTCACCGCGAAGATTGGAATCAATAGTTTCACTTGCACTTTCGGTTTGTATTTTTTTGTTTGTTTCGGGGGTACAATGGGTTAATTTAGACTATCGGGGAGGCGTCGGCAATGAATCTCGACGATTTCCGCGGGTATATTCAAACTTATCTGCACAGAGAGACTCGGCGATCCGATAGTATTCTCTGTTGCACGCACGTGAACACGCAACCCCCTCGTTATCCAGGGAACAAGCGGCCGGAGATCCGCGAGTAGATTAAAATTCACCGCGATTACGGAAGCTACCCACGGATTACGGTGACTGTAAATTTGCAAAGGTGATCCCCGTAATGGTCGACGCGTATCGGGATCTAAGGAATCACGGGTAGGGCCTCGAGGTCCAAAATTAGGATTTTTAAAATTACGTTGACATTTAACACGATTCGGAGACGCCTTTCGATTAAATCGTTTCATCGCGATACAACGAAACTCGCGTTAAATGTCGAAACAACGACGCGATCGATAAAGTTTATCGCGATTAAATTTATATGAACTCGCCACCTGCTTCCAATTCCAGTGGATTTAATATCGAATGACGAAAGAGGGTTTTTTGTTGGTCGGAAAACAGAAGGAAAAGGATCGATATACGACGTAAGAGTCACTCGACGTTAAATTGCACGGAAATCGGGCATGATTAACCTTGCACGTTTCCACAGTCTCCTTCTTCCTCGATTTACGTCGTTCGGGCAGCTTCTCGTTTCTCTAAATTAACTCCCCTCGGTGCAAATGGTTCCTTAAACCAGAACAAATAAATCAATTCTCGACGCGGAAGAAACGTCACCGAATAATAATTATTTCTAGTTGTGTACACACCCTCGATGCCATAAAAATTAAAATAGCCGAGAAACCGGTACTGAAACGTGAATGGAGAGGGCTTGTGCAAAGAACAAATTGCAATATAAGAACGGTGGGAATAAAAAATAGAAGACGACGAGTAGGTCGACGGATTAGACGAGATGAAAAATCTGTCGAGTGGAGGAAAAAAATCTCCGATCGCCGCTATTCCCACGTTTTCCGCGATTTTCTATTTTTAGACCGAGAGTGAAAAATTGCGATGATTTAATGATACTTTGCCTATTCCATACGAATGATTCACTCTGTATTATTCAATCTCTTGACGAGTGTAATGTTAAGTAAATATGATTTACAGTCGATCGCCTTTCCTTGGAGCAACAGGCAAAGTGGCTGCAATTATACTTTTCCAATTTATTAATGAAACGATCGTTCCAGATCGCGAGAAAGGAAAATGGGCGAGGGACAGCCAACTTACAAACTGATCTACTTCGATGCTCGCGGTCGCGCCGAGCAAATTCGCTACATATTTGCGTACGCTGGCATCGACTACGTCGACGAGAGGATCTCCAAGGAAAACTGGCCGGAACTGAAGAAAGGTAAGCACTGACAGTTTATCATTCCTTTCGAACGACTGTTCAGTAAGTTTCTGTTGAAATGGTAATGCAATGCAGTCTATTGATTGTCTAATACTTGTCCTCACGTAACAAAAAAACATCGTCGATTCCCACCGTCAATTGTTTTATTCTCATTTCATCAGATTCAATTCAAGTTAACACTTTGACGGCCGCTGTCACGTGCGCGTGATCTACTGTATCAGTTACCATTTCATCGTACATTCAACTTATTAGGTTTCCTATAATTCCTTATAATAACATTCTTAGCATCTTCGTGAATCTCACTTTGGTGCACAATATCAGTGGTGATGGACAACGGTTTTCCGTTAAGCCGTTAAAGTGTTAAGAATCCATATGTTTGTGTCCAAACGAGACGAACCGGTAGTCGAAGATTTGTAATTGCAAAATGATTCGAAAGACGAGAGAGTCCGGTCTCGGTCGGTCATTCGCGACTAACGAGAAGTTCGCGTTGCAGGGGACTTTAATAAATTGCAAAGGAACGTTTATTGCGTAACTTGTTACTCGGAAGAGCAAAGCGCGCGCCAGGTCCGAACAATGTTTATAATTTGAATCGAGCGTCGTGAGATTAAATTAGCTTCGCTCTACAAAATTTGTATGCTCGCTTTGTCCGTAGCTTTCAATCACTGATGACGGTTGCCTTTCAGCACTGAAAATGCTCGGGAAACTTCGTCGAATATTAAAATCGACGAAAGTTTCGTTTATCAGCCGTTTTGGGAGCAACCTGTGCGTAAGTTCGTGGTAAACACAATGCACGTGGTATCTTTTGTATCGTGAATACCGAATAAAAACATGATACGTTCGTTTCTCGATAATTACTTCGACAAGGACGAATATGCATTTCGATTGTCTTCGCGGAACAATCTGGTATTTGGTTTGGTGCTAGGACCTGTCTATATTTTACCCAGCCATTCGATATCGCGGATAAATATTGCACGGATCTAGGGAAATTTCACAGAGCGTATTTAACGATTGGTTCGATGAGCGTCGAATTGCGGATATGAAAGTTTCACGGGCTCCATTAGCAGGACGCGTTGATTAAAGGCGGCATGAATTCTGCCCCACATTCGGAAACGAGCGTAACCGTGCATCGCGAAGACTCGGTCGCAGGGGGCCGGTGGAATTTTGCATCGATCGTCCGTATTGGTTTCGAACGTCAGTTTTCGTTCGATCTGTGTGTTGTTCTTAGCGATGCCTTACGGAATGCTACCGGTGCTGGAGATAGACGGGAAACCGATAGCACAGAGCAACGCGGTGGCGAGATACTTGGCGAGGAAACACAATCTGAGTGGAAGGGACGAATGGGAGGCGATGCTGTGCGATGTGCTTGTCGATACCCTCGGAGACCTCAAGCAAAGTGAGTGATTTAAAGCGATTACGGTCGTCGTACTGGTTTTAAGAAATGGTCCAAGCCAGCATCCGGTTCAACGAGAAAAAACAAACTCCAGAACCCACGTGGGTCGTTCGTTGAGGGGCCTTTCTACTTTGTGGGATTTAAAAAATCGAATTTTTCTTTGCGTTCTCTTTTAGTATGTAGTCTCGAATATATATCTACCAAATATTAAATTGAAATTCTGAAAATTGACGAAGTTATAGCATGCTGTACTGTACCATGCACAGGTATAAATGGACGTGAAACTTTAAGTTGTCTTTCTACTTTGTGGGATTACAAAAATTGAATTTTTCTTTGCGTTCTCTTTTAGTATGTAGCTTCGAAAATATATCTACCGAATATTAAATTGAAATTCTGAAAACTAACGAAGTTATAGCCTGCTGAAATGTACCACGCGCAGGTATAACTGGACGTAACACTTTAAGTTGCCTTTCTACTTTGTGGGATTCAAAAAATTGAATTTTTCTTTGCGTTTTCTTTTAGTATGTAGTCTCGAAAATATATCTACCAAATATTAAATTGAAATTCTGAAAATTGACGAAGTTATAGCATGCTGTACTGTACCATGCACAGGTATAACTGGACGTGAAACTTTAAGTTGTCTTTCTACTTTGTGGGATTACAAAAATTGAATTTTTCTTTGCCTTCTCTTTTAGTATGTAGCTTCGAAAATATATCTACCGAATATTAAATTGAAATCCTGAAAATTCACGAAGTTATAGCCTTTTGTACTGTACCACGCGCAGGTATAACTGGACGTAACACTTTATTTGCCTTTCCACCTTGTGGGATTTAAAAAATCGAATTTTTCTTTACGTTTTCTTTTAGTATGTAGTCTCGAAAATATATCTACCAAATATTAAATTGAAATTCTGAAAATTGACGAAGTTATAGCCTTTTGTACTGTACCACGCGCAGGTATAACTGGACGTAACACTTTATTTGCCTTTCCACCTTGTGGGATTTAAAAAATCGAATTTTTCTTTACGTTTTCTTTTAGTATGATGTCTCGAAAATATATCTACCAAATATTAAATTGAAATTCTGAAAATTGACGAAGTTATAGCCTTTTGTACTGTACCACGCGCAGGTATAACTGGACGTAACACTTTATTTGCCTTTCCACCTTGTGGGATTTAAAAAATCGAATTTTTCTTTACGTTTTCTTTTAGTATGTAGTCTCGAAAATATATCTACCAAATATTAAATTGAAATTCTGAAAATTGACGAAGTTATAGCCTTTTGTACTGTACCACGCGCAGGTATAACTGGACGTAACACTTTATTTGCCTTTCCACCTTGTGGGATTTAAAAAATCGAATTTTTCTTTACGTTTTCTTTTAGTATGATGTCTCGAAAATATATCTACCAAATATTAAATTGAAATTCTGAAAATTGACGAAGTTATAGCCTTTTGTACTGTACCACGCGCAGGTATAACTGGACGTAACACTTTATTTGCCTTTCCACCTTGTGGGATTTAAAAAATCGAATTTTTCTTTACGTTTTCTTTTAGTATGATGTCTCGAAAATATATCTACCAAATATTAAATTGAAATTCTGAAAATTGACGAAGTTATAGCCTTTTGTACTGTACCACGCGCAGGTATAACTGGACGTAACACTTTATTTGCCTTTCCACCTTGTGGGATTTAAAAAATCGAATTTTTCTTTACGTTTTCTTTTAGTATGATGTCTCGAAAATATATCTACCAAATATTAAATTGAAATTCTGAAAATTGACGAAGTTATAGCCTTTTGTACTGTACCATGCACAGGTATAACTGGACGTGAAACTTTAAGTTGCCTTTCTACTTTGTGGGATTACAAAAATTGAATTTTATTTGCGTTTTCTTTTTGTATGATGTCTCGAAAATATATCTACCAAATATTAAATTGAAATTTGAGAAACTAACAGAGTTATAACAACTGGACGTGAAAGTTTAAAGCTGTTTTTCTCGAAACTACATTTTTCGGCACTGCGTATGTGATAACAAAAAAACTATTCAAGATATCAACATGAAATTTATACAGTATCTTTAGAACCGATCTCCCTATAGCACGAACTAGGATAATCGCGATATATGCAATACTTTTGCTTTTATTAACAAAAAAGCAACCGAATATATGAAAATATTCAGTATTTTTTCGTAAAATAGCTGCCATTTTGCCATTTTTTGTTTTTTTGAAAAGATCCAAGTTCATGCTATAACCACACTCATCTATATTAAGAATATCGTTGGTTTTTGGATTTCGTATAACTTGTTCGCAAGACATCACATACACAGTCGGGCTCCGTTCGTAAAACCTGTTGTTTGTTGATTAACAAAAACAGCGTAATCGATAGATACTATGCGTTGCAAAAATTCGTAAATATAGCTAAATATATAACGAATGTGTCTACGAAACCTGAAATTAATTGCTCTTTAATAGCCCGCAAAAAAAAAATCACAAAGAACGAGTACAGTAACTATTCTTAAAACCCCTCGTTTTTTAAATAACGGATAGAAAGGTTTTTTAAAAATAAAAGTCAGATTACGGAGTTTAATCATGCCTCGATGGGTGACAAGCATACGTTGGAAGGAACCTTTGGCATCTCGTATAACTCGTCTTGCTCGTTTCGCAACCGACGTCGCGGTAAACCGAAGGAAAAGCGCTTTCAGAGTTTCGTTTTCGCGTGTAAATTCTTGTCGCATCCACGGTACATTGTATTACAACTTATTAGCCGCGAACGGCATCGGAATAATAAAGTATTGCACAATGACTGAGCGCAGGAAGATCATGCGCGCGCGATAACGTACTAATTTCCAATTACGATATGCGTGATTATACAACGCGGACTGTTTGCATGATGCGTTAACGATCCGCGCGTAGATCGTATTAATTGAAAGGAATTGAATCGTGTGCGAGCGGACCGAGGCAAGACTCGTCCTTTTGCGACGCGAACGTATCGCGTGAAAATTTGAAAAATGTATGCTCGATAATAATGCCAGCATATAATTAGTATTTCCGTTTTTATGCGATATAATTGCGGTGTATATCGTTCACGTGCATTCTTTTTCCAGTTCTGCATCTGCCTCGCTTTATTCCGTCGTAGATTACGCTCGATTCGTCGCATCTGAACGCGCTTGCAAGATGGCGGACTTTGGTATCCGAAACGCTCGTGTTTTGTTTAATTCTCACACTGATCGATTACTTTGCATCGTGAAAATTGAAGAAATAGAATTATTTTAATTGATAAGAAGCCGTGGTTTGTAAAAGTTTACTTCGAGATGGGCAATTTTATTAACTTTTTATTAAATCGTCGACTGCGTCTGTCCACTGCAGTGGACGTCTAATTTATCACTTTAACGACAATGTCTGGGACCTTTCTTACCGTTCGACGCAACGAAACCTCTTTGAATAATGTCCAGAGAGCGGAAAAATAATGGTAGCGCGACTATTTCGTTATTTATCGCAAGTACATTGTTGTCGAGTCGTTGCAATAAAATTGATTGTTTCGTATCGACGCGGACAAATAGTACTCGTAGAACAAAGATCGTCGATTTTCTGTACAAAGGAAATACTGGTCGTAGGTAGTTTTAATCGTGTCAGGATAGTTCGAATTCCTTTCTTCGAAAGGAGATTAAAATTACATTTCATGGCAATGATAAATCGACGTTGTATGTCCCAGTTATAGCTCTGTATCTCGCGGAGAAGGATCAGTTCAAGAAGGAGGAGAAGAAGGCGAAACTTTTGAAGGAAACTATACCCTTTTACTTGAACAAGTTTGAACAAACCATCGGCGAGAATGGAGGCTACGCCGTTGGCTCCACCGTAAGTTGTTGTTTTAGTAGATTTAACGTTACTCGCTAAATCTAGCTCGCTGGCAAGGAGTGAGCTAGGTAGCTGGCTAGCAAGGATGGAGCAAGGTAACTAGCTAGAAAAGAATGTGCGAAGTAGCTAGCTTGCAAGACGTGTGCTACGTAGCTGGCTTGTAAGCAGTGAGCTAGGTAGCCGGCTAGCAAGGAGTGCGCTAGCTAGCTAGCTGCCAAGAAGATTGCTAGGTAGCTAGCTAACATGGAGTGAGCTAGGTAGCTAGGTTGCAAGGAGTGAGCTACGAAGCTAGGATGCAATTAGTGTACTAGGTAGCTAGCTAGCAAGGTGTGAGCAAGGTAGATATCTAGCAAGGAGCGAGCAAGGTAACTAGCTAGAAAAGAATGTGCGAAGTAGCTAGCTTGCAAGACGTGTGCTACATAGCTGGCTTGTAAGCAGTGAACTAGGTAGCCGGCTAGCAAGGAGTGCGCTAGCTAGCTAGCTGCCAAGAAGATTGCTAGGTAGCTAGCTAACATGGAGTGAGCTAGGTAGCTAGCTAGCATGGAGTGAGCTACGAAGCTAGGATGCAATTAGTGTACTAGGTAGCTAGCTAGCAAGGTGTGAGCAAGGTAGATATCTAGCAAGGAGCGAGTTAGCTAGCTAGCTGCCAAGATGTGTGCTACGTAGCTAGCTAGCAAGTAGTGTGCTAGGTAGTCAGCTCCCAAGGAGTGTGCTAGGTAGCCAGCTGGCAAGGAGTGAGCTCGGTAGCTGACTAGCAAGCAGTGCTCCAGAACGCTAGCTTCCAAGAAGTGTGCTAGACATTCACAATACCTAGTAGATACAATCGTAATGATGCCTTCGTTTCATTTTTCTTTCAACAATTTGTGGGCCATTCTTTCAGACCACGTGGGCGGATTTTGTGTTCGCTGTGGCTCTGGAGAATTTCGAGAATATTTTCGGCGGCGGAGCCTTGGAAAATTACCCGGGTCTTCGAGCGCTGAAGAAGAGGGTCCACGGGATACCCGCAATCGCCGAATGGCTGACCAAACGGCCCCAGACAGAAGTTTAGAACCGAGATATGCCCGATGGAAATGGAAACGAGTACATATCTAAGTAAATTGGACGCGCTTGGTCGGTTATTATTACACGTTCGTCGACGCGTTACCCAGTTGTCAATGTCGCCGTGTGTTCTGTCGATGTCTCACGACTTGCGATGAAAATCTATGCAATCGCGTACGTCGATAGCCTGATAGTACATAAATACTTTTAATTCGCGGGGTAAAATTGATTTAGACCTGCGGGAGGAGAATTGTCGTCAAGTTTCCGGTATTTTGCGCAGCTTCTATGCGATATGTGTTATCCAACTCGAATCTTTCGTAGCGAATAGTCAAATACACGCGATAAGTTGTAACATAGAGTGCCTAAAGGTAAACGGTACGGAACACGGAATAGAAATTTTGTTTCGTTCTTTATTCGTTGCGTTTCTCGATATCACGAACGGCTCTGCTTCTACAAAATGAGTAACTGCAAATAATTTCTTGAAACCTAAAATACTACCAATGACAATTCGTTTATACAAACACCTATATCGTTTATTCGCAGTTACAAGTCGCATTAGTAGGAACCACTGATTTATAAAATGGACTTTCTCGGCAGAAATAGGTTTAGTTGTGTGTGAGATTACGATTAAATGTTACTGACTAAATATTAAACACAATATAGTGTATGTTAATATCGTTGTAATTGCAAATGTATTGACTGATTGAATATAAATAATAAAAATCTACGAAGAAGTTTAGCACTCTTTCTCTTCTACTTATTCCCTGCGTCTGTAGAATAATAGTTTCATCTAGTTTTAAGTGGGTCTGGCATTTTGGAAATGCTCTGGTCAACGAATCTCCAAACAGCGATCACGTCTTCTGCTTTCGAGAAATGTAAGGGCTGCGAGTCATAATGGTTTTTGTCATTTTACTGACAATTCGAACGAGTGGGCGATGCTCAGCTCTGCTTCTTTTGCTAATACAATTATGTTTCTGCCATACAATCGATAAATAGCATTTGATTCCATCATCATCCAGGAGAGAACGTCCATGTTAATCGGGAATTAGTTCGCTATTTTCAACGCTAGATGGCGCGCAATTTCCGATGTTGTGGCGACAGGTGCGTTTTCTGTCGCGAGGTTGAGCTCTACTTTACCGATTAAAGGGTTGAAGTTAGTGTTGTTATAAGAAAAAGTTAATGTTAATGTTTTTTGTTTTTGATCGCTAGGAGACGGCTAGTAGTTTGTTTAAACAGTTATAATAATAAACTCAGAGTTCTTCAGATATTCAAAAGAGTCATACATATGTTCTAATTTATTACGGCTACAATTGGTGACCCCGACGTGATCAAAGGAGAGATTCTATGTAAAATTCAAATTTAAAAAAAAAGTAAAATGTTTCATTCACCTACTAGAGTAGAGGCGACAGAAAACGCACCTGTCGCCACACTTTACATCCCTCTGCTGACCTCTGTTGGCCCTTGCCGACCACTGCTGACCTTCCGACAACGTATAACGATTGCTACTGGTTACTGCCAGCCTCTCCCAGCCTCTGTTGGCCTCTCCTGACCACCGCTTATATTTCTGACGACGTATAACAATTACGACTGACTTCTGCCAACCTCCGCTGGCCTCCGCTGACCACTGCTGACCACCCCTGATGCTTCCGACAACGTATAACGATTACAACTTGCCACTGCTTGCCCCTGCTGGTCTCTGCTTGCCACTCCTTGCCACTGCTGGCCTCCGCTGGCCTCTGCTGACCACTGCTGACCACCACCGATGCTTCCGACAACGTGTGACGATTACTACATGTTACTGCTTGCCCCTTCTGGCTTCTGTGGCCCCTGCTGACCCCTGCCGACCACTGCTGACCACTGCTGACCACTGCTGACCACTGCTGACCTTTGTTATGAACTTCTGACATGATGTATAAGTATTCAAGCCTTGTATAATGTAAATCTATGGCAATAAATGATATAATTTAACAGAATCCTATGTGTTCTCATCATTTTTACCTTTCTTTTCCTCTCCAAATCATTGCCTTGGTTTTAAGAGACCGTTTTCCCGGTTAAAATTGGATTCCGTAAGTGCCCGGCTCTCGTACTTGCTGCCAAAATCAAAAATTAACTTTTAAATTTTTTTTCTGTAACCGTCGGTACTGTACCTGTTGGCAAAATCGAGAATTCATTTTTTTCGCCGAAAAATTTTTGCTCGAAAATTTCGCCGATTTCCCAAAAAGTCCTGAAACAATTGGAAAGTCCTGAAACAGCTGGAAAGCCCTGAAACAGCTGGAAAGCCCTGAAACAATTGGAAAGTCCTGAAACGACTTAAAATTTTGGAAATCCCGAGCCAGCTGGAAAGTCCTGAAACAGTTGGAAAGTCCTGAAACAGCTGGAAAGTCCTGAAACAACTGGAAAGTCCTGAAACAATTGGAAAGTCCTGAAACGACTTAAAATTTTGGAAATCCCGAGCCAGCTGGAAAGCCCTGAAACAACTGGAAAGTCCTGAAACAATTGGAAAGTCCTGAAACAGCTGGAAAGTCCTGGAATTTCTTGGAAACGCCGAAAATTCTTGGAAACCCTGAATTTTTAGCAAAGTTCTGAGTTTCAGGACTTCCGAGGTGTTTCAGGACTTCCAAGTGGGTTCAGGGAAACCAAGGAGTTTCAGGGAGTCTTATAACTAAGGTAATGATTTGGAGAGGAAAAGAAAGGTAAAAAATGATGAGAACACATAGAATTCTTTGTAATTATATCATTTATTGCCATAGATTTACATTATACAATGTTTTAATACATATATATCATGGCAGAAGTTGTTAACAAGGGTCAGCAGTGGTCAGCAGGGGTCAGCAGGGGTCAGCAGGGGTTAGCAGGGGCCACAGAAGCCAGAAGGGGCAAGCAGTAACGTATAGTAATCGTCACACGTTGTCGGAAGCATCGGTGGTGGTCAGCAGTGGTCAGCAGAGGCCAGCGGAGGCCAGCAGTGGCAAGGAGTGGCAAGCAGAGACCAGCAGGGGCAAGCAGTGGCAAGTTGTAATCGTTATACGTTGTCGGAAGCATCAGGGGTGGTCAGCAGTGGTCAGCGGGGGCCAGCGGAGCTTGACAGAAGTCAGTCGTAATTGTTGTACGTCGTCAGAAATATAAGCGGAGGTCAGGAGAGGCCAGCAGAGCCTGGGAGAGGCTGGCAGTAACCAGTAGCAATCGTTATACGTTGTCGGAAGTATGAGGTGTGGTCAGCAGTGGTCAGCAGTGGTCAGCAGTGGCAGGCAGAAGCCCGCACATGTTGGCAGAGGTTAGCAGAGGCTGCGAGGTCGAATTTCAGTTGTTCAAGTGCAAGAAGGCAAATGAGCCTTCCTCTCTCGACTCCCATGAGACGGTCCGAAATTACTTCGGGCAGCTTCGGAGAATCGAGAAAGGTGGCATGTGTCAGTTTGCCTTTGTCGACTCTCTGAAACTCCACGAGCTCACGTACGCGTGATCTGGCATAGTGTGAGTAGGTGCACCAGGTGCTCAATCTGGCGTCACTGTTACCAGGTCTCACCACGTGGAGGTTGCTGCGAGTGAAGACCCGAAGGGAGATAGATGGAATCAAAGTAACGTTGCGAGTGACACGAAAATGGTAATGGGGCTTTAGAGCCCCATAAAAATGATCCGAAAAGATACATTGGGTGAAAGGTCTACTCGTATACCACGTCTGTGGTATTATCTACACCACCGACAGATGAAGAACAACTAAATAAATACTTTTTCTTCTTTTATACAAACCATATTCAGAATTTTATACCAAGGGTAAATTAACATAATACTACACTTACAAACAATACTCTTAAAATTAGCAAGTTTTTAAATATTTACAACACAGTAAATACTGTACATAATTAGATTTAATTTCATTTATAAGAATTTTTGGCTCTCCAATCGAGAAATTCCTCAAACTCGGCTTCGTCACCGCTGGAAACATCCTCATCTGTGTTCTTCTGTTTCCTATCTGTAGCTTGTACTTGTTCTTTACGTTTTACAAGATCCATTACTCTGTTACAACCATTGTTTAGTTAATTTTATAAATTATTGCTTTCCAAACAGAAATGCAAATAATAAAAAATATTACCTAGACCAGTGTCGTAATTGTTCTTCTATTTCACCTAATTGTCTCTCTGTTGTTGCTTCTTCTTGATCATCAGCAATTATTTGCGCGGATTGTGCAGTTTCCTCCTTAATTTCTTTTTGAAACTTTTCCCATTCTTCTTCTATGGGATTTTTATACTCAACATTACGAACCTATTATCCCCATAAAAAGCATATAATTTTATATTAATTTATTACATATTATATTTCTTCTTTAACTATGTTTATACCTTAGCATCCAAAACTGGATCATCAAAAAAGCCTTCTGGAAGAACTGGTTGATTTGTATCTTTGTTTTTGTCTTTTTCCCTTTCTTCTTCTATTTCCACATTCTTTGCTTCTTTATCATTTACAAGTTCTTTGCTGTTCTCTGGCCTTTCTATCATTGCAGAAGTATTTGACGGTACAGTGCCATTGGACTGTTTAGGATTATTATCAAAGAAATCTGATGGTAAGCTCGACGTTGTTTGCGTCGAAGGAACTTTTAATATACTCTTTATCTTTTTGTTTGGGGAAGATTCTTGAGACGGAGATGAAGGCCTTTTAAATGTGTGCACAGCAGTCTTTGGAGCATCTGTTTCTAATTTGGTCTTCTTTGCTAATGCTATATTTTCCTTGTGAGCCTTTGAATTCAAGTGAACAGGCCAAACTGTTTCGCTACGAACAGTAACTTTGCAGAGAACGCACATAAGCTGCCCTATATCTGTATATGTGTTTACCATGGTTAAGGATGTTCAAATATTTGTTAACTTGTTATTATGCATGAACATAAAGTATCGTATTTAATTAGTTTCTAGTCAACAAAATTATGAAACTGTTTCCAATTATTAATAGCTTTGAAAGCAAAAATTACACAAATGCATAAATTATAGGTACTTGATGTTACTTTAATTCTTAAACGTATGTCGAAAATTTTATTCTACTGTGAAGAAACGAGACACATAACCTCAATATACGCAGTAACGTTGTGAAAAGGATATTTTGCTAATGGTGATTCGATTTTCTTGACGGCACCCAATTTCTTTTTGTGCTCACTCATGGCTTTACGCAAATCATCTTGCGTTAATCTTCTTTTAAGCGACATTTTGAGAAAGAAATTCGACTCGTAAATACCTAAACGCAATTCTTACGGTTCAGGTTATATTTTGATTCACTGTCCTATGCAACTAGATGAAGTTTCAGAAATAATATTACGTCACTATCAGCTGAGATGTACATACATGTGTACCAACTACAATTTACGTTAAAAAAAACTAGGAAAATATAGAAAACGGATTTGGTAATAAGTATTATGGTCCAAGAAATATCTAAATCAAAACTATTCTGACTAATGTACAAACCATAGAATAGTAAACGAATCAAGTAGCTTAGGATAGAGTGAGTTGTGGATGCAAACAAATATCAACACTGAAATGCTCTTAATTTAATATATACACATACAATTTAATATTAACATAATTCAATAAATTCGAGAACGATTTAAAATATTGACAAAAATAATAAAAATATGTTTAAAGAAAATGCGCGTGATATGGTATTACGTGATATTAGTTTTTCTCTGGTGCAATATTTTTAATATGTTACATTATAATTCTATTTATGTTCCTTCAAATATTCCTGGCGGAACCATTGCATATAGTCTACCAGTTTCTGTGTCTCTTCCAGAGTAATAGCATTATACAAAGACGCTCGAAGTCCACCTACAAACCTGTAATTAAATGTCTCCATGTAATTCGAAAGGCGACGCGATATATTGAACGATGATTGAAAGATTAATGCTACTTATTGTAGTATAAGTTGCTTTCTAAGTTGCACTGACCTGTGACCTCCCAACTGCATCATACCACGCGCTTTCGCGCCGGACAAGAAATATTGCTCGGCCGATTTATTATCTTCGAGTATTTTAAACACCACATTGACTCGACTCCTTGCGTCTACATCGATGGGGCACGAATAGAAATCTTCCGACTGATCGATCACGTCATACAGTTTCCGACTTTTCTCAATCGCCAATTTTTCCATCGCTTCGACGCCATTGTGTTCCTTAACCCATTTCAAAACTAACCCGACCGTGTATATCCTAAAAAATGACAAATGCTTGAACGCTCCGTGTTTAGAAAAATATCCCTTGCGCGTTTACATCTCTTTTATTTTATCTACTTGAAAAATACTGTCCACCGCTGATTTAAAGTCTCGCGGGACGACACAAAGGAAAGTGGAATCGGACCGCCCATTTATCTATCTCGTTCCCTTGCTCTCGGACAGTCCACACATGTGTGTGTAACTGTCGCGACGAATAGCGTGGAAATACGTGCATTTCTTCCGCGAGACTTCAAGAGAGCGGAGGACTGTACCCAAATCGAAATCTGTACTAAATAATATTGATCTCGAATACGACAACGTAAACACCCACGCTGATTTATTTTATCGTTGTTCGTTTATTTTTCGAATGCTTACTGAAAGACTGGCGGTGTATTATACAAGGAGTTATTGGCTGCCATGAGAGTAAAATTGAACACCGATGGACAGTGATCACTAGGGTGGCCAAGAACATCGTCTCGCACTATCACGAGCGTCACGCCGGCTGGACCAATGTTTTTCTGGGCGCCAGCAAAAATTACTGCAAACTGAACAACACATGATAATCTACTTTTTCGAAGTTTTGCGCGTTTGGTCGTTGTCAAATTTAACGTTCACATACTTTCGAGATATCTAAGGATCTTGTGAGAATGTTCGACGACATATCGGCAACGAGTGGCACTCCTTTCGTCTCGGGAATGTAATTGAATTCGACTCCTTAAATAATTAAATAAACGAAATATTCAATTTTCTCTAATTCGATTATTATCCACATATTCTACTTATTATTCATTTACCATTAATTGTCTCGTTAGCACAGTAATAAACGTAGGATGCTTGTGGGTCTAAATTCCAAGTAGACGGATCAGGGATTTTGGTATAGTTCTCGTACATAATTAATCTCGCGGTACCATACTTTGCTGCTTCCGCCGCTGCTTTGGCCGACCACAAGCCTAAAAAATTCATTTTCCATGAATATAAAAACTCTTAACATTAACTATTTACTGTCTAATAATACGGTTTCTTTGTCTCGGATTATATCTTTTATATTCGGGAATATATAATGTTCTAACGTAGAAAACGAAGAATATAAGAAACCTGATATAGTGTATTCGTGTACCAGTTAGTATATAATCTGCTTTGCGGTTTGTCATCATATTTAAAGGAATGGCTGCAAATAACCCTGCCCCTCCTCCTTGCATAAATAAGATTTTATAATTATCTGGAATATTCCTGGAATATTTAAATAATCCACTATATTCAGACAGCACGTGAACAATTACCATAAACTGTTTATTCATGCATACAAAGAATATTCTGTCTAATTTCTTGGCCATAAAATCTAAAAGCACTGCAATCTTTCACGTAGCGTACAGTATTCTATCCTATATCTATATGTCTATTAATAATCATTGTTAAAACGTTGTGAAATAAACTACATTTAATTGCAATCGATTAGTTTGGTCAACTAAAAACAAAACGATGTTAAGTGGAACTCGAGCACAATATTAAGTACTTACTATAGGTGTAACCGGTAAGCAGATGTTCGAGAAAGTTAATGAAAATTTATAATCACGACTCACAATTTTTGATACTTTTTTTATTTTTCATACCAACTTACAATAAATCCCTTAACGTGGCTTGAGCATTATCAATAACATTTTTAATCTCGTTCGATCTATGACTCAGCTCTAAAATGCTCATTTGCGTATTACCGTACGCAAGCAATTCCTTTTGTACATCTTTTAATACCTGTAAAATATATATAACTTAATTTAACGTCGATTTCTTCGCGACGAATTAGAATATAGCGAGGAAGCAATATTTTATCATAGGCAAATATTCGATCTGAGATAAGGGATTGTACTCATTTACTTCGGTGTTTATCCGTAATCGCTGTTGGGGGTATTAAGTAACGAGCGCGATAGCTGAATGAACGAGACTGACCTTTGCGCAAATAATATACTAATGTATCTACACTATCTTTCTAATTTACTGGCTAATCTTGCAAAATATTTCTAAATTTTTCTGATATTTTCCTACGGGGGAATTCATTTTGCAAAATTTCACACAGTATCGTGTTACTTCAACATTCGGTTACCAAAAAATACTTAACGCAATCACGAAGAATAAACAAAATACAGTGTTATCGCTATAAAAACGAAACCTTCGGGACCGTTTATATTTATCGAGGCTTAGACACGAAGTTCTGGATCGAGGCAGTCTTGGTCTTTTTGCGGTAACGTCGAACGTAAAAAAGAACAGCGAGCGAAAAGAAAGAGAAAAGACGAGCGTTCGAAGTAACCGGCAGAGATCAAAGCCGTGCGATGAGATTTCGATATCATATTCGCGATTCCTCCCCGATCAAAATAAGACCAAACACGATATAGTTTTATAAATTAATAAATACATTTATTAAATAATCTCGAACTACCAATAAAAGAAGTTTTACTATCGTATTATGATTGCTTCACTGGCACACGCTGACCTCGTTCGTGTCCGGTGTCCCCCCCCCGGAGACTTGTTTACGTTATGTAGGCAAAGGCAGAAACGATTTGATATACTATTTCCATTCTAAGTAACAGTAAACATGTCCTGGTCTTCTATTCAATTATTTATCTCACAGATTGTTTCTTTTTCTTGGTCAACATCGAGCTGCTTGACAACCCGTTGGCGTGTTAAGTAACTCGTGTGGCTAGTCCCGAGGGGGATTACCCCCAGTAGTGAGGGTAAAATTTTTGTTCCATCAATTTCGCTTTTATAGCGACAACACCATATTATTTGTTTCAAGAGCAAGAGAAAAGTTTCTTTACAGTTGTATTCATCATTTAAGACAATGAAGACCAAAGTATCTTACTGTAGTATAAAGAGAGGCGAAAAGTATAATGTAAACCGCATTTCTAAGTTATTTAATTTTTGGCCTTCTTTGGACGGGCAATGAAAGGAGCCAACATGGCAGTAAATGTAACACGTACAATTACGCAGTTTTAAACACGCATAACTTTTGACCCCATGAATTCCTAAAGTTAAAATCGTGCTTTTGGTAATCGACTCGTAAAATTCTACCAGATTGCGAAGAGATATCTTAATAATTTTTGGCCCGGTAAAGTTTAACCCAATATCGACAAGATCTATTGGCAAAGGAAAGTAGTTCAATTCGCGAAATTATTTATACGCGATACCTGTTGCGGAAGTTTGGCCGGTCCTGCTCCAAAATTGATCACATCGTACATACTATTGCTTTGGTCGCTCATTGCGAATGCTTCTAATGCACTGTACGGCTGATACGTATAGACTGGACTGAGCCATGGATAGGCAACTCCTAACGTTTTTTACTTGTTCCTTTACAGTGCCACATGTGTGGTATCTTTGAACTAAATAAGCTAAGATGGCGATAGATGGAAGCAGTATTCACAGAGAGAAATTTGAATTCTGTATTTCTATTCGTCATTTAACATTCTATTAAACCCACTGTCGAAATGTAATTATATCCAATTCCATCTGTGACCAATGGCATTATGCACATAATTCCCTGCTGAAAATTGCGATAAACTACGATGCCCAATGATCGTAGACTATTATGAATCGATATTTTTCCTTTTCGTTGTACCGCTTCCTTTACTTTCTCTTCCGATTTTTTCTGTTTTTATAATCTTCTTATGTAACCTACGGCTAGAGTTTCCAGAAGTTTACCCGGATAAAGATAAAAATGATAATTCACGCGTGATCAATATCGATCACCGACCGAGTACTGATACCACCTTGGTGTCTCGTTTCATTTTGTTTTCCTTATTGTGTTAAACGAGAGTCGAGACCTGTCGAACAGGTCTTGACCAAGAAATGCGTCTTGGTCCTTCAACAAGATGCAGCTGTACGAGTTTGTTTCGCTAAACAGTCGCGAAAATTGTAATAACTATGAAACAGCATAAGACATTTTTTAAATCCACGTACAACTTTTATTAGCTGAACTGTACGTACATACGTAAGCTGCATGGCGAGCAATGTTTTTTTAACATTTGTTAAGAAATAGAGTGCAACACATAGTAAAGAAGCAGGATAATTTATACACTTTCGTCTATAATACACAATAGGCACATATGCCAGCTGTATAGCCAATATATCAATCGTCGAGGACCATAGTTCTGTCAACAATGGTTGTACTTGTATTTTTAAAAAATGGATTATGCTGTCTTATAATTATTGAAACCCATCAATTAAAATTTTATGCCAAAGAACGAATGCTATTATTTATATCACAGACGAGGTATACGAGTGGCCCAATCTGACTGCCATACCGACCTGAAAATTCATTTCTGAATCTGTTGGTAACGTTGCGAGTAACACGAAAATGGTAATGGGTTTCGAGACCCCATAAAAATGGGTCAAAAAAATCCATTGGGTGAAAGGTCTACTCGTATACCTCGTCTGTGCTTATATTGTCCTATCTATCCTGTATTTCGTTTCTAATAAATAATAGGTAATAGGGCATATAATGCCATCTAATGATAAAACCACAGACGAGATATATGAATAGACGTTTCACGTAATGTAATTTTTCGGCCGGAGTTTCTGGGGTCCCGGGACCCCATTACCATTTTCGTGTCACTCGCAACGTTATCAACAGATTCAGAAATTAACACAAGAGGAAGTGAGACAGAAAATAAAATTACATAAATTTTATTATTTTTTAACGGAATTAAAGCTGTAGGGTCCATCATTGGACATTAATCGATTAATTTCATTGGAGAAATCAATCGATTAAGAGTATTTAAAAATTTCAAGATTATTAAAATTCATAAGGATGTATTTCATTGATACGTACACCGCAAATTCTCTATTTTTTATTTTAAATTGTAATACATCATTTATTAAAAAAATAACTCGGCAGAAACGTATTTGCGACTCGAAATCAGTTTAATCAGACTGTGCATCGGGGCCCCGGAAACTCCTCATTCCTCGCTTTCGCACACTATGCTCAATTGCGTGTACGTGAGCTCGTTGAGTTTCGGAAGAGCCGAGAAGAACAGGCTGATACTCGCTTTCCTTCTCGCTCTTGCATCGCTGACGTCGTTTACATTTCTCGAAAGCAAGCCTGGCATCGCCAACCGTTCGAATCGTCAGTAAACGACAAAAGCCATCGTGACCGACAGACCTTACATTTCTCGAAATCGGACCTGGGCGCTTTTTGAAGATTCATTGACTTTCCATACGAAGCGACCATGCGTTATATACATATACATGTTATACATGCTAGGAACTATAAATTGTATAACTTTCGTTGTATATCTACTTTCTAATAACATGGGAAAATTTTAAAATATAAAAAAATGTAAGAATACTGTAAAATTTTTGCAATGGAGAATTATTGAAAGAAAATGAGGTAATTATTTAGAAAAGGCCGGGTCTCACCGATTTCGATGATTTTTGAATATGTTGTAGAAATCAACATTTTGAGCAACTTTTTCCTATACATACAGGGTGTTCGGCCACCTCTAGCAAAAATTTTAATGAGCGATAGTAGAGGCCAAAATAAGACGAAAATCAAGAATACTAATTTGTTGGTGGAAGCTTCGTTAAAAAGTTATTAACGTTTAAAGTGCCGCTCTTACTGAATTTTTTTCTCGAAAATGCGCAAGATTTCGGGGGTATGTCTATTCACCAAAAATGACTATAATTGAACCCTACAACCGAAAATAATTTTTCCACAACGATTTGCAATTTTTTAATTTTCTCGAATAATTTCACACCTTCTCTATTTTTTTTCTCGAAAGTGGGCAGGATTTCGTGGGTATTTCTAATGACAAAAACTGATTGTAATTGACCCCCGCAACCGAAAATAATTTTTCCACAACGATTTGCAATTTTTTTTCTCCGTTGAAAAATTTAGGCACCTAATTGGATTTTCAGTAAGGAATTTTTTTCTCGAAAGTGCGTACGATTTCGGAGGTATATGTAATGATAAAAAATGATTGTAATTGATCCCCGCAACCGAAAATAATTTTTTTAAAACGATTTGAAAAATTTTTTTTCGCCGAAAAATTTCAGCACCTACTCGATTTTTTTTCTCGAAAGTAGATAGGATTTCGGAGGTATGTGTACTCACCAAAAATGATTGTAGTTGACCCCCGCAACCGAAAATAATTTTTCCAGAACGATTTGAAATTTTTGAATTTAATTGTTAATAACTTTTTAACGAAGCTTCCATCAACAAATTAGTATTCTTGATTTTCGTCTTATTTTGGCCTCTACTATCGTTCATTAAAATTTTTGCTAGAGGTGGCCGAACACCCTGTATAACCGCCGCTCGGCCTTAGTTTCCGAGATTTTTCTTCAAAAATATCGCTACTACTACAATGAATTCTGTCTATATGTACATATCTGTGGCTCTATATTGCATCAGTCCACGATCGTTGCTTTTTTCTCTTGTTTGTATTAGCCGGCATGACAACCGACGACAAATAATGTATAATGTGTCGATTATAATTATAATTTTATTACTTTACATTTTTTAAATTTCTTACAAATAACGTGTATCAAACCTTGAAATGAGAACACAAAACTTAATGTAAAATTACATTGAAATTCATTTGGTTGTTTAGACTCAATCGTATTAATAGTATAAATATATGAACGCACGTCCATAAGCGTAGTAAAAAAATGTCTTTTTTAATAGTTAACCCTTTGCACTCGGCACCTTTTCGGACGTTAGCTATCAGCAACTCGACGCTACTTTCTCGCGAAAACGAAAACCCTTGAGTCGTGATATTATATGGTACAACTTTGGAACCAAGTAAGGCATTGTGTTGAAATTTGGTTTATATGTATTTATGGACATTGAAGAACACATATTTACAATACAAAATAAAAATTTATTTCTCATAATTTTCTATGGTATGGTAAATTCTGAAACAATTCCCAATATACATAGCAGGTTGATTTATACATGTTTCACAATAAAATGTTGTTTGACGTCTTTCTCCTGGTGTTTTCCTGTCGGAACAAATAATGCAGTCCCGGTTTCTTTGGCCTACATTTGGAATATGTAGCTTATTATTCATTCTATTGTCCGACAAAGAACGTTAATTTATTTAGATTATAACGAAGATAGCAATAGGAATGGTTCGACTTTGAATGAAGTTTCGATTTTACGTTTATAGTTTTTTACGTTTACGTTTTATGTTCTTTATGTTAAATAATTTTAGTAAACATTAAATAATATAGTTTATATAGTTACGTTTATTGTCCACGTGTTTGAATCCGACCATACGCCTCTGACCATCATCGACAATCCTTCCACTCCCAACGTAAAAACGGCTGATATATTTCTCATTTTAATAGAATATTTCCCATTTTAATAGGAAAGTACAGGAAAACATGTGTTTCTTAAAAAATTGCGGTGAAATCAGTTCATTCTCCTTAATCACTAATAAACTTTCATGTCCCCTCAGAGGGGACAACCGAGTGCAAAGGGTTAAAATATGTTCATAAAATATTATCTTTTTAAAACGTGTATTTCCGTAAAAACAAATTTTTGTAATTTTTTCTTCATTATGGTATATTGCTTATATGTACATTGTATATGCCTACACAGGTCGGAAAGTCAAAAATGCCTAGGCAGTCGAGAATCTCGGCTCGAGAATATGCGAGATCGAATTTCAGCTGTGTTGAGAGCAAGAAGGATAGACTGACATTCGCCGCCTTTCTCGAATCTACGAAGCTATACGAAACGCCAGAACTCATATACAAGGTGGTTGGCATTAGTGTATGTGAGTGGTGGGGCAGTTCCCTTTCGGCACGGGTCTGCCGTCTGATAATACTCCACTGTCTTTTCCAATCCCTCCCATAATCAACTCACATGTATTTACGTACACACTCAGCTGGCTGCCCATCAATACTAATTCAGTGCCTAGTTTCTCAACTAACCGCCATCCATGAGAAGAGGCCGCTAAAATCAGCTACGAATTTTCAGGTCGGTATGACAGTCAGATTCGGCCGCGAAAGTCCATAAGGTGAAACGTCTATTCATATATCTCGTCTGTGATAAAACCAACAAACACTATATTGTTATAAATTTGAACATTTGTTATTATATATATATATATATATACGTTAATGACGTTGCTGTTTAAACGACAAATTATATTCAAGGATACAAAAATGTATTTAAGAGAATTCTTTTCACTGGCTGCAATACTAAATTGCAGTTAGATCAGTCCTCCTACAGATGACATGTTATGAACCATCTTTTGTCATTTTTATTGTAGCTCATCAGTTGAAGATTTACATCATTATTTATAAAATATGTATTTTACATAATAAATTCTAATACGTATATTTCGTCAGATTGGGAAAACTTTCAGCGAGTGAATTATAAAATGATTGCACACTGTTTATTTATCATGTAGTTAGTACGAACAGGGTTTCATATACGTACACACATACTGTTAAATGTAGTGTGGCTGTTTGTACTTTCAAAGCCGGCAAAACATGGACTCGTTTAAAACGTTTATGAATATTTTTGAACGGGCTGTAGCAGAAAGAAACAGTAGCAATCTTACAGAAATTTTACGAAGTAGTAGGAAATACTTTCAAAATATAGTGAAAGCTGACAGTGGTACGTGTTATTAAATAAATACCGCTTTATATTTTGCGATATTACGTTGCGTTAGATTTTTAAATTAAGCTTGCAACGAAAAGACATTTTATCATTTATATTTAATACTTGTTTATTAGAATTGCTGCTGTCCATATTGTTCGATTCCAAGAAAGGTTTGTTACACTTTCTTTATAATGAACTTAGAAGGCCTACTCCCCAAAAAGGTTTTGATACAGCGATCAAGGAATCATTTCATCTACTTGAATTCATCATGGAACAATTTTCTGAGATATTTGTACCTTACATCACCGAAACCAAGGTATTTAAATGATAATTTTATATTAAATAATGTAATTATGTGTGTAAATAAAGAATGATTTACTGTAGCTTTATTCGGTTACAGAATACATGCCAACAGGCACTCGTAACACGATGTTCAGCATTTATTCAAAAAGCTGCCTGCAGTACCTTTAATAAATTGATAGAGTTATTTAAAGAATACGAAATTGAATTAGGGGAGACTGTAAAAAAATTTGTGTGTTTACTTCATTCATTGGATATCAAAGGTAATAATAAATAAATTATTATTATATAAGATTGTTTCAAAAATACATGTGAGTAGGCTAGGAGCTAAATTTACATGCTAAAGTAATTAAAAAATGTCCATCGCATGTCTCAACATATGCACTTATATGCCTCCACATAAAATTGTGTACTTGCTGGAAAATATGGAATCTTACAGATTAAGATCACCAGATTCAGATCCTTAATTATTTACATGTATTTCTGAAACACTCTGTATATAGCTTAATATAAAAGTTTTTAACTCATTGCAGAGAGGAGCTTGTTACTATCAGTATGCAGCACGATTGCAAGACATAATCTAGAAGTTCCAGAAATACAGGAACATTCTAATATAATACTTCAACAACTACAAAATGACTTCAGAAAACAGGTAAGTACATTGTAACTGTTTTGTTTAAATAAGTGCATTATTGATAGTATTGATACAAAGAAATGCTAGAAAAAAAACATCTGAAGACACCGTGTCATCATGGTGGCAATAAAAAACAAATGATACATCAAGTTCAATTTTACGCGCGTTATCTTCGAATATCCGCGACGAGTTAACTCGTCATCCCGCGTTAAGGGATTAATCATTTAGTAAACGTATCAAAAGTTTAAAAAAAAACACGATTCGGCGGAAAGATACAGCAGAATTTAATTTCTGGATTTACATGGTTGCAGTATAATTCGTCACAGTCGACTGATATATTTCAAATGTACTTCGATATTTTCTCCAATATGTTGTATTTGCTTTCAACCGAAGAGAAAGAGAGGTGCTGCGAAGAATTATATAAATGGATCAAAGATCTTGGTTCCCCTGCAAAGTACACAGTTAAAAAAGTTTCGATGAGAGCGGCGATCAATTTATTGTCCAATCATATCTATCTATTTCGTGAATTTATTTATAACGATTATAAATATTGGTACGAGTTGTTAACAAAACTTGTCGGAGATAAAAATCTAGATTGTAGCGAGTGCGGGGAACGCGCTTTAAAAAAGTTTTATCAATTAATGGGGAACATCTTAAAGCACAAAACTTCCGAGGACGACAAAACAGTATTCTTGGTAGGCACCATTTTTTGAGCGATTATTATTTTCGAAAATTACAGCGAACAATTCATAACAGTGTCTACTATGTTTCAGTATTTTAAAGATCATTTTGAGCAACAGCTGAAAAATAATAAAAATATAGATTCTAAGATATTACGTTTTATTGTATATGGCTTTAGTCAAATGGCTGCACCGTGTAAATGGTATCTTACTAATAATGATGTAAAGGATATGTTCTCAGTGATAACTCATTGCGCGATGCCACTCTGTTCTGGGTATGAAATATACATATTGATACTTTAAAGGGGTATATAAACCTAGAAGATTAAGATGTTTGAAAGTATAAATTAAAAAAAAATATTGTATTGAAATTTTTAGAGAAGATTTACATCAATCAGACTTAGAAAGTATTTATAATTACCAAGACGCTCTTTCCGAAATAATATTGCATACATCAGTCCTCTCGATCAAGCAAATTAATGCGATTCTAAAGCTTAGTATTCTTTTGGTAAAACGATTTCCTGACCTCTCTATAACCAGCCAAAATCCTGCGATTACATCGTTGATAAATACAATCATTAATGTTGGGGTAGTTAGTAGAAATTTCTTGGAAGAATTTCTTTATAATTTAAGTAAGTACTGTGTGTTTTACATATCTTTAAAAAAAGTTAACGTTCGAACATAGCGCGACTTAAAATGCTTCTTTTCAGTTCAGAATGGAATAATATGGTCTTGTTCTCATACTATGCTTGTTGATGCGGAATTGCAACGAGGACTGCGTAATCTCGAGGAGCTACCGATGTGTTACAAAAGTTATTTGCCTTTATGGTTGCAAATCCTGAAGCCATACAGATACAAAGGACACAGACAAATTCTGCAAGAAGTAGTTGATTCCATGATACACGTGTGCACTGTATCGATCAGTAAACTGAACTTGAATACAAAAACGAAAGAAGATAACGTATACTCGGATGCAGCCTTCTCCCAAATCGCTGAGAACGAGGCCGATTTTAGGATCTTCGTTAACATCGTAGATCTGTACGTCGATGTGATCAACGAACTAGAGTCTTCCTTGTTGCTAAACTCTATGCACAAATTCTTGTTAAAAATTATTAGCATGTCTTATAAGTATCCTCTAATATCAGGATTTTACAAGTTGGTACACGCAACGTTCAAACATATTTGCAACTTGACCAAGGACGAAATCGAATCAGAAATATTAGAACTACTGTACAAGTATTTAATCAACGTGCTGAATTTAATTTCAACATTTTCTAACGAACTGTTGACCACGTGTTTGAATTTAATTCTGAACACGCCCGAAATCTACGTAGAGCACATAATAAAGAGTACAATCCCGGCGTTTAAAATTGCATTTACCGTGGGTCTGAGCGACTTCGAAGTAGCTTGCACTGCTTTAAACGCTTTGGAGTCGTGGACGAACCATTTAGACAATCAACGTACGAATGGATTATTAAGAGAAGTTATACCACTTCTAGAACCATACTTACACAGCGAGGAAAGTTCTATGGAATTATTGCAAGATCTCATAAAGACAGAGCGAAAAGTAATCAAACGCATAATGTTGAGAGACGACGAGAACACTTTAGAAAGATTTCAGATGAGAGTTTTGTTGTTCATTGCCTCGCTCGACACCGATATTATACAAGATTTCGTGCATAAAAGATCCATGGACATAGGAGCCACTTGGGGCAAGAAAGATTTACTCAAGTACTCGTTGGTGTTGCCGGACACGGAAGTGAATATCAATTTCGATAAAATTTTACCAAGACTGATTCTATTAGCTCAACACTCTGGAGACAGAAGAACGAAGATAGTCGCCTGCGAAGCACTCCATTCGGTGACAGCGTACTTCTTAGGGAAAATGTCGCAGCATTTGATATCCAGTCCCGATCGATTTGTATCCATGTACACGGTATTGTGTCCAGCTCTGCTTAGTTTAGGCTGCGATCACGACGAGGCAGCTAGCAAAATTTTTCAACCCCTAATGCTGCAATTGACCCATTGGCTGAGTTCGAAGTTCATGATCAAGTCTTCGGCGACCGCGTACTTTTTAGATTCGCTGTTCGAGAGTTTAAGCGACGATTCCAAGTCGTCGCTCAGAGAATTTTCTGGCCTGTGCCTGGCCGAATTTACCAAATGGTCCATAAAGCAGTCCGACACCGACAGAAGGACGCAGCTAAACACCGACGAAATTATACAGAAAATGATCAATTTCGCGCTTCATCCGTCTACGACCAAACGAGTGGCAGCCGCGACAGCTTTTAATCATCTTTACACTATTTTACGCGAGGACGAGGAAATCGTGTCCGTATACTGGTTGGAGATCTTGTACTCCTTTGTCAGAAGTTTGGACGGTTGCGATAGTCCCTCGATTATCACTGCACTCGATCATGTCGAGAGAGTCCTAATAACAAAATGCGAGATATTCAATTTAGAATATCACATTCGCAGAAAACCAAATGATTTTGAAGATTCGACTTTAATCCATGCAGTGAATTGGTTGTTCACTCAGTGTGGCTGCTTAGACCAACGCTGTCGAGTAAAATGCATGGAGTTGGTTCTTAAACTTTCTGAATACGCAATGGACATTGACTCTGCGCATATAATGATAAATAATTATGTCGATGATCGTGGAATCGAAGCATTAAATGTTATAATACTGAAGGACCTAAGCTCGAAATTGGAAAATCTTTCACGCAATAGCCTTCTACCCCTTTTGAGAAGTTTCGAGTGTTACATCTGGTTACTACGAAACAATCTGATCGATGTACAATATTTATTTGCAAGTTCAAATTCGAAGAGGGAAGTAATTTTTAATTCCGCGAGGAATTTCGTTCATCTTGCGAATAAAGTTAAAATAGAACCAAAGGAAGACGATTTAGTGATGCTGTCGAAAGAGTTTGAAGATTTACAGACGTTGCAGTGCGAATTAATAGTTGTTATGTTCGACTTCTTGCAAATTCTTTTGAGCTTTGATGTAAGTCGATTATTTTTACGATTACATCGCGGATGTTCCAAAGTATTTCTCATTTTTTTAATTCCAGGACAATTTCGTACCGAATTTTTTCTTCAACCAAGATTTGTTTGAACTAATCTCAAAGTGCATAATGTGTTCACAAGTCGTAGGGTTTGATATGAAGAATTTCGAAGTCACAGAGGCGGTCCCATCGGTTATGGGAAATCTGTTGCGATCAATGGCGCAGAAAACGGACGACACTTTGATCAATCGTGTTAAAGAGAAATTGTCCGTACACGTGGAAAAACATATGAACAGTTTCATCGATTTAGATAATATTTTGTTTGGCACCGATAGTTGCAATAAACTGAAACAATATGTTCAGGGTTTAAAATTTCTGGAACACCATAATATTCTCAATCAGCTATGTAACGTATGTAATACGTATGAAAATAAATGCTTTTTTATTGTTTTTTTTTACGTAATTAAATTCTTACCTGACAATTATTGTTTCGTTTAGGCAACGCAATTGATCGAACAGCCGGAAGTCAAAGTTACACGCATTTTCAATGCTTTAGCAAAAGAACAAATAGGTGAACTTGTTTGTGTAAATATCAGACTAACTGCAAAAGATTATCTACAGATCTTGATGGAACTGCTACTCACACATTATAGGGTATATATATTCTATAATACATAAGGTGGTTGGCCAACCCTGGGAAAAATTTGAGATTCCAAGAATATGAATTTTTTCGTTAAAAAGTTATTAAACATTAAATTAAAAAATTTGAAATCATTCTGAAAAAATTATTTTTGGTTGCGGGAGTCAATTGCAATCATTTTTGGTGAATACGTATATCCCTGAAATCCTACCCACTTTCGAGAAAAAAATTCGAGAAGGTGTGAAATATTTCGACGGAATTAAAAAATTTCAAATCGTTTTAAAAAAATTATTGTCAGTTGCGGGGATCGATTACAATCATTTTTGGTCAATAGACATACCCCCGAAATCCTGCGCATTTTCGAGAAAAAAATTCCGTACAGGCGGAACTTTAAACGTTAATAACTTTTTAATATAGCCTTCGTCAACAAATTGGTATTCTTGATTTTCGTTCTATTTTGGCTCCTAGAATCTCCCATTAAAATTTTTCCCAGGGATGGCCAAATATCGAAAGACGTAGAAACATTTTGTTCGATCCAATGAGATAGTAAATCGTACCGAATATTTGAACAGAAAATACATAAAGAATTATCTGCTTACAGCCGTCGATGACAAAGATGTTGATCGAATTAATTGAAACTGATACAATGCTCGAGGAAAATTCGACAAAAATCGAGCATGGTATATGCTTTTTGAATTTGTTTACGAATGAAATATTCAGATACATGTTGAGGGACACAGAACAGACCATGCAGGTGTTCGATGAGGTGCTGCAAAAGAATCCGTCTTATTTGTTAATAATAACAGAGCAGTTGTTCTTATTTGTGCAACGACATAAAAAAGAATTGCGCGAGTGTGCAGAGAGTTTAGCGGACGCTGTCGTTAAAAGATTTACAATATTCGAAAAAGCTGTGAATAATTTGGAAGACAGGAAACAAAAGTTGATAAGCATTTACGGGATCGCCGTGCATTTAAAGCGCGAGCCAACGGAAACGGTGTCTCTGAGCAAAGAATTTTACTCGTGGATTCTCACTCAATTGACGGAGAATTCCAGTATAGAGTACAAGACTTACATTCTGCAAAATTTCCTCGTTTGCTTGACCGACATAACGTCCAAAGCGAAACCAGAATTGCTCGTTATTCTACGAACTCTGCGAAACGACAGACTCGCGACACGCGCGGAAGATTACTCGCAAAGAAACATGGAAGCTTTAAAAATAATCAATTGCTTTCAAACGTTATTAAAATTGTTACCAGTAACTAAATCAACCGCCGTGTTTGAGTTTGTAATTTTATTCACGGCTGGGATCGCCGAACATTTGTGCAACAAAGACACGAACGAGTACCTGGAAAAATACTGCAATTCGATCACCGTCGACTACGCGTTGGAATCTATAGAAGCGGCTTTCAAATTGTTCATGAACGTGAACTCTGAATCGAACGAGAGATTCGACAAATTGCGCAGATTTCTCCTGCCTTTATTCGAGTTTTGCAGAACCGCCGAAATACGTAGATTCTTCGAGAGAAATATCAAAGAGATATACACCACAATTCGCCAAAGTCTCATTGGAAATAGTTCGGATATCAAGCAGCTTATAATTTCAAAAATAGGCTGCTACGACCTTGTCGCGAAAATGTTCGCAAAGATACATATGGATGAAATTAACGACACTGAGAGCGCCATTGCACGAAACGCCATCGACAACGTGGTAACTGGAAAAGAATTTTTACAAAGCTTGTACAGCAGCGCGTTGAACGTGCGTATGTTGAAGACACCCGATCCAGAACACAAGGAAATGATGAGATTGCTGCATTGTTCAGCGTACAACTGTTCCATAGCGATTGTAGCTTTAAAAGAAGACGAGGACTCCTACGTAAGCGTATTCGCCGAGAACAAGAAGAAGGAACAATTGATCTGGGAGAATATCGTGGATTGTCGGAAGAATTACAACCTCCGGCAGACATTCAACGAATACCCAAAGTATCGTAAGAAGCTAATCAACATAAGGAAAAGTATAAGACAAAGACAGAATCTCGAACGATACTCGTACATTTATAGTTACGATCTGTCTACTTGCACATTAAACGAAGATATAAACGCATACGATTTTAACGAAATGACCGTAAGCAATGCGCCTAACGACACAAAGAAGGAAGAAAGTATGAAATTAACGCTAGAAATCGACGAGTTGAATAATCACGAATGCATGGACTCCATTTGTGGGGTTTTACGTCACATGATAACGGAAAGAATATCTACACCGTCCGTCGATGGCGATGTCACGATACCAAAATGGCTGCTATGCTTTTGCAATACTCTCAAGTCGACAAGTCACGACAACGTAAAGATATTCATGCTGAAAATTGTCTGGAACGAGCGGGAAACTGTATTCGAATTTTATAAAAAATTCCTCTTCCAATCGATCGTCTATGCCGCGTACTCGTATTTAAGATTGAATCATTTGAACTATATCATCACCGATATTATAGAGATGTTGATCGTTTGGCAGTCTGTACCTCTACTGGACGATACTAACAGCAAAGTGATGCTGCAGAAGTTATGGGAACTGATCATTTACAAAGCGTTGGTAAAAAAGACCAATCAGACGTCCAAGCCCGTTTACAAATATAACATGACCGTGATAAAGACCATGCTCGAAGTATGGCATACTTATTTAAAACTACCCGAGAGTTTGGATGAAAAGATTAGAACCGCGCCCGAAGCCGCGGTATATTTAATACTAATTTGCATCGTAAATGGAATGATAAAAGAAGTCGTTCAAAGGGACGATGTCTTAGAATTTTTGGAGAACTCTTTGGAACAATGGCAGAACGACGAGGAGACTGTTTTGCAGTGCTGCGAGTGTTTCGGTTTCATCCTGAAATTCTTGGACGACGAGCCCAATTCAACGAGCAGAAAGGGCGCCATAATCGATAAGATTCATAGTATATTGAGGCAAATGCAAACGAAATTCGAGAACAGGCAAATGAAGTATATTCGTACACTTTGCAAAAGTTACCCTAACGCTGGTATGATTTATTTTGAATTTGTAACTGCAAATATATTCAGAGTGAACGCTCTAGGCAAGTTACACTGTCTGGAAATATTTCTGCTGTGCATACCTAAGCTCACTGTCGATCAAATATTAAAGGAGCTGGCGTTCATGAAGTTTCGTGATCTATTAACGAATAAAATTCTGCCCAGCGAGATAATCGCGTTGCAGATCATCGATTCTCTGGTTCCTGTTCTTCCTCCATCGAATCTCTTACCTCTGGTGAATACAGCCGTTCCTTATGCGAAACACCAATCGTCTGAGCACAGAGAATGCACTTACAATATATTCATGAATATTTATAAGAAATATGCAGTCGACACGACAGAAGACAAAAATACAAAGGAGCTAATGCACAGCAGCAAACAAATGCTACTCAATGGTACATCGGATCCTGCTGAACAATTGCAGGATAAAATACTGAATTTCTGGACTCAAGATGCACAGTTGAGGTGCACTTGCGAAGAAAGATTTCTGGAGATTCTGAGCACCTATACGCCTACTGTTGGCAATAATTTCTTGCCGTTTGCGCTCTCGATGATCTTCGACCTCACGAAAAAATCTAAAAATTATATGCAGACTATGTTCGAACCTCTGCACAATTGCACCTACAGGGACTATAACATATTTCTCTCGTGGAGGACGAAAAATTTAGGGTCTAAGGCTCCCCTGTTTGCTCCGTCTTTAGCTAGCCAAATGAATCAAACGTTCACTCAAACGAGTGGTGCATTACCTAGTGCATTCTTAGATTTTACACATGCTGGTAAGTCTTTCGGTTTTAACAGCGAGTTGCAGGTTCAAGCGACGCGAGATCCCGAATTCGAGTCGACTTACGTTAACCAAGAGCCAGTATCGACATCAAACGAGCTAGAACACGACGATACTTTTAAAATACCAGAAGTGCCGCAGCTTGATTACAATAAACAATCGAGACGGTTTCTGAAAAGTTCAGCGAATGTGTCTGCAGCTATACGACAGAAGGAAATCAAGAAGAACATACATCGCGCTGAAATGATAAAAGAAGAAGTTGCTCGACAAAGAGGCAGCGTAAAATTGTACAGAAAATACAGAATAGGCGATTTTCCGGACATCGAGATATCTCACTCCATGTTGATCGAACCGTTGCAAAGATTGGCGAAGAAGGATCAACTGATTTGCAAAGATTTAATTGTTTCCATTGTTTGCTCGTTGCTCGAAGAGTTCAAGCAAAATGATTTCGTACAAAAAGTTGCTGATAGCTTGAAAGACATCATCAAGAACAAACATGGGAACAATTCGGCCATGGCTGTAATTTTAGAAATATTGTTAGCCACTCGTATAGCGGATTGCCCGCCGGAAGTGATTGCAAAGGTATCGAGATCGAACAATTTGAACTTCCTTGGGTCGCTTGTCGTGGAGGAGAATTTAATTTACGGTAGAAACGATTCCGAGCCGCTCAGAAAGAGAGCACGGAACGACGGTGTGCTCGATTCGCATAACGAGTGGCTGCAATTGACAAATCTTTACAAATCTATGAACGACGTCGACGTGGTCCTCGGAATTTTCCGAAATCATATCGAAGACGAAGATATGAGAGTACGTATTTTACTTATGGTTCCTGAACTAGTATATAAAAATCTCTAAAAGGCAATCTTTTAATTTTAGGAGGCGTCGTTCGCGCAGGCGGCTAACAATTGGACCAAAGCAAAGGCAGCGTACGAAAAAGCTTACGAAACGGAAGCGGAACTGGTAAAAGAACACTGTCTTCAGGGATCATTCGAATGTTTAAGTAATTTATGCCACTGGAACGAAATCGACAAACACATAGAAAGGAAACTAGATGGGGATTTGAACAACATTTGGACCGATCCATGGAAAGATTGGATGTTCCCATGGTTGTTCGAGGTACACGTTCGCAAACTTATAGACGGGGAGATCAGCGACACGTTCGAAGACAACGTTCGGACAATCGAGACTTGGTTGAATAACGATACGAAAGTGGAGCACATCAAACGATTCTTCGGCGAGGAATCGTCCATGTTCTTCCTAGGCAAAGAGCTGGAAGTTGCGCGCGAATTTGTGCTAAACACGCTGAACGAAATGAGGGAACAGTGGATCAGACTTCATCCCCTGTCCACTCAGTTGAGGACACGTAAGCTGCAACGGTTACGTCTAATCAACGACGTAAATAAGTTCATAAAGATTTTGAAAACGGCCAAGGAACCGTCAGACTTAATGGAAGTCTTAAACTTCTCGAACTGCTTGCTCTCGGCGCAAGACGCTATACTTCTCTGGGACAAATTAACATCCTACAGGATATACTTCATCGATCACCCGTTGACCGACAAATTGGAAAAATGTATTCTAAACGAGACGCAGGATGATTCCGGAAGCGTTGACCGACTGCGTATGGTCACCTTCGATATGCGATTAAAAATGATCGAGGCAGCATTGAACCAGAAAAACAAATACATAGCTAAAAAGTACGTGCAAGAATTGGAACGGAATTCGCGGAATTACACGGTCGACATGGAGCATCGATTCATTTTAACCGGTGCAAAGCTAAAGTACCTCAATGGAGAAATTGAAACGAACGCGAAGAAGCGGCTGTCGAGTTTTGCATCCTCGTGGAAGCATTGTCATAATCTTCTGCAGAAGAGTGACCTTGATCCCACGATTAACGTCGACGTACGACGGCAAATCAGCATACTAGCTTCGAAAATTGCGGAATTAAGCGAAGAAAACGAAACTCTGGCCGAGCTGTTGACGAGAAACACCGTGATTTTGGATACTATAAACGCTGAGAACAATGACCCGCCTGCTATCATAGACACGTTGAAAAGTTACGGTTTCGATCATTTGAAAGTGTGCTGCGACACAACCACGAACATCAAGGATTGCTATTTTATGCTTTCGAAGTACTGTTACGATAGATTGTCACGAGGCAACAGTAGCGCTCAGTTCAGCAAGAAATTTGTGAATGCTACATTGAAGGCAATGAATTATGGGTCTCTCGAAGCAACGCACTATTTCTCATGCTTGTTAAAACCCGAGTATTTTGAGGACGAAGAGACGAAAGATATATTTTTAAAGGAGAGCGAAGGGGTTGAAACTTGGCTGTTTCTATCATGGCAGGCGCAGTTGTTCTCGCATTTGGGAACGTCCATCGCGCCGTTGATCATACCTATCCTTAAACGAATCGTTGAGACTTATCCGAACGCGGTCATTTACACGTTGCGTTTAACCGTGGAAACGAATCCGACTCTTCTGAACGAAACGAAAACTTACGAGATTCGACGGATTCTCGACCACCGACCCGAAATCAATCAATTTTTAAAGGCGATGCAGTACGTTGTTCAACCAGAATTGTACTTGCAACATTATCTACTCGAATTCGTAAAGAACTTGTCGCTTGGAACGTCCACGGCTGTAGATATACTTCTAAAAAAAGTGTATCCAAGCTCGCGAGAGGACAGGCATGATCCAAAGCCGGGATTCATCTTCAATAAAATTGCAATGTACAAAAGTAAAATAAAGGAACTGGAACGCAAAAGGTCTGACGAAATTAGGCGACACGTGCTGAAAATGATCCAGACTATCAAGAACTCTAGTGGTAAGTTTCGAGACAGACAGAAGCTACGGAACTATAGTCCATGGTTGCACCAATTCTCTGGAGGCGACATAGAAATACCTGGACAGTACACGGGGGACAGAAAACCTATGCCTCAGTATCACGCGAAAATTGTGAGGTTTGAGCCTAACGTGAAGGTGATGCATTCGATACGGAAACCCGTTCGAATCACTATGCTGGGCAACGATGCAAAGGAATACCATTTTCTGGTGAAATTTGGTGAAGATTTGAGGCAAGATCAAAGATTGCAACAGTTGTTCACCATTATGAACAAAACATTAAATATTGACGCTGCTTGCAAACAGAGACATCTATCAATTGATACTTATCAAGTATGTAAATATTTGAAAAGCATTTTATCTTATACTTTACTTTTGGAATACGATTTTTAATCTTCCAGAAATTATAGTAAGCATTTTTGTTCGGTATAGGTAATCCCTTTGTCGAGAACAGTAGGTCTCATACAATGGATAGAAAATACAAGATCACTAGATGAATTAATACATTTCACGTTATCGACGCAAACGATAAATCGTTACGATTCCATAGCCAAAGAATACGAAGGATGGGTACGAAGCGCAGCACCTTCTACAAATCAACACGAAAGGTATAAAGAAGCCACGATCAAGCATAACGCTTCGACAGTGATCGCCAAGATGACAGAGTTTATCGGTAAAACCGAATGGGACAGTTTACGCAAGACGATCATGGTACTGTGCCCGTCCATAGAAAGCTTCGTTACTATGCGACGAAATTTCATCACTACGTACGCTACTATGTGCGTCGCGCATTGGATATTGGGCATCGGTGATCGCCATCTTGGAAATGCTCTTATTAGTGTCAGTTCAGGACGTTGCTTGGGTATCGATTTTGGGGTAGCTTTCGGTGCTGGCATCGATCAAAAGGTTCCCGAATTAATGCCGTTTCGTCTAACCTCTCAAATTCTTGGCTTGCTAAAGCCTTTCGACGAGAAGGATCTTCTGGGGGCGATAATGATTCACACGTTACGAGCATTAAGAAACGAACCGGGCCCCATTTTATCTTGCATGGATGTTTTCGTACATGAACCACTAAATTGGACGGAGCACGTTAATAAGGCGTTAAGAGACACCGATGTCGATATCGCGGACGTGAAATGGGTGCCCATGAAAAAAATAAAGGCGGTCATGAGAAAATTGGATGGAGTTAAACCGTCTTTAATTACCTTGGAACAATTAAAAGAGCAACATAACGATAAATATTACGATAGATATTACGTTATAGTTACCGGGGACGACGATATTAAGCGAAATCGGGCAAGAATGGAAAATAATAATTTAACGCCAGAGCAACAGGTAACGTTCGGCCACAGACGAGGTATACGAGTAGACCTTTCACTCGTAACACCTACAATAGTGAATATATTTCAATGAAACTTTTTTCCGAAGTAGAGCTCATGGGTACCTACAAAAAAGTATTAGACAACTTTTCTGTAGGGCGTCAAACAAAGTTACTAAAAATCAAAAACGAATTTTTAAGGAAAATCGACAGGGGGGTAGGGGCCTAAATTTTTCGGTGAAATTGAAAAGTTTCAAATCACTCTGGAAAAATTATTTTCGATCGCGAGGGTCAATTGTAATCATTTTTGGTGAATAGCCATAACCTCGAAATCCTGCGTATTTTAGTAATTTAATTTTCTGTCTCACTTCCTCTTGTGTTCATTTGTATAACCTGTTGGTAATGTTGCGAGTGACTCTAGAGCCCCAAAAAAATGGGCCGAAAAAATACATTGGATGCGAGGTCTACTCGTATACCTCGTCTGTGGTTTTACGATGCATTATATCCGCGACTGTCTATAAAAATAATTGATGATTTTTTTAGGTTGAGTGCCTACTGGACCAAGCGACCGACTTAAATATTGTAGGTCGATCGTTCGTGGGATGGAAACCGTGGCTTTAACATGTTCGTACGTACCGTATCGATAATTATTTTTAATTATATTAATAGAGCGTTGATATATTTTGTATATAAATGTATTTTTTATTTCAAATAAAAATTTGTATACGATAAGAGATTCACGAACACGGATCGACGAAACAATACCCGCTATTCTAAGTTCGCAGCCATTAGCTCGGTGGACCCGAAGGAAGATACATGGAATCCAAGTTCCATCGATCTCCCTTTCATATTCTTACGATCTAGATTACTAAACTAAAGTCTGGAATTTTTTTTATTGCAATTTATAATCAATCAGTAACTGACTAACTTTTTGTTTCCAACTTTTTTTTTTTATCAGACTACCGGAAGTGCAAGAAAAATCGTAACGATATGTGGAAGATGACTGTACGTAGTCGGTGCCTGTTCTAGCGGGGTTTGCATTTTTCTCGAGTGTACAAAGTAAGTGTTTTATATTTCACAAAACGTTTACAATAATTGAAATATATATTACAATGAATTATTTGGACAAATATTTAACATTGCTGCAATTGATCTTGTAATTGCGCGAAGCGTCCTTGTAATACACGTTCTCGTTCCGTTTGTCTATTAACATCTTCCATAAGCGCATTTACTCGTCTTGGTACCGCTGCCTCTTCTTGCGTTTGCAAAAATTTGAACGTCGATAGCTCTAAATGAGTTTGTTCTATTTGTTCCCACAAATCATGTAGCTGTTTCGTTAATACTTGTGCTCTAGTCTAGTATGTAAAAAAAAGATTTATATAGATCAATCGATATTGGATAAATCGAAACATAACGATTTATGCATTTCAAAATAAAAAGAAATACCTGATAACCGCCAGTAAGAACTTTCAACTTTTTTTCCATTCTGGCCGCCCGTTTAGCTTCCCCGGTCATGTGCATGCGATTTTCTTCTAATTTCCTTTCGCATGCTTCTACTCTATCCTTTTTTGAAGCTAATGTCGCTCGCGTATACCGTTTTTGCGTTTCCAGATACAAGATCTGATAAAATATATTTGGTAATACATATTTGAAACATAAATTTTAAATATAAAATGTGTTACAATACCTGTGATAAGCATTCTTCCCATACAGTTGTGTAGGAATCTAAACTAAGTTCTCCGTGCGCCATACCTTCTTTCACGACTCCCATTTCATCAGTCAAGAGCTGTTTAGCCTGAATTAAATATTAACATGATATCGATGATATAAAAATAGTAAAATCGTGTGATGCAATATAACTTACGGCACTAAGTTCATCCTCTTCAAAATTAACGTACGGATGCTGGTCTAAATAAGACTGCGCTTGAGCTATCGAACTCGAGGCACCTTTGCGATTCTGTTGTACCGGATTCTGTAGAGCATCGTATTGCAACATCGTAATCATTTCCCTTTTAATCAGTTCCTCTGCCTACAATCAAGAGCTCGTTAGAAAACGACTAATTACACGTACACACATGGTAGATTATAATTAATTATATGATCGTACTCTTTGCAAATCCGTTAATGGAGTGTCCATGAACGGCCTCAAAATATTCATATTTACATCAACTGGTCGCGGTAAATCTCGCTGTATAACTTGTGATCTACGAGATAATTCTCTTTTTCCTATAAAACATCGTAAAATATTGCTACACAAATAATTATTGTTAAAGTTGCAAATATTTACGTTTAAACGGTTACATACTTTGTTCCATTAATTCCTGTTGTTGCCTGGCATCTATATCAGCCTGGTCTTCGACTATCTCAGTTGTAGGTGTAGCAGCACTCTCATCTTTCGTTTCACCTTCAGGAACTACTATCTCGTAGTCATTACGCGGCGTTGGGAGAGCACTTAGGCCAGCGCGTAATTGTTCTTTCACTTGTTTCTGAATTAGGGGAGTCTCTGATCCCTCGATGCCTTCGTCCGGATTAATGCTAAGCTTGTCACGAACTGGCGTTGCCGCTAGAACTCCGTTTTGCGTTCGCGTGGATGCCGGTGTGTTAAACGAATTAGCCGGAGTGCCGTCGCTACGTTGCGAACGAAACGGTGTAGCCAAAATAGTATTTGGTGTTGCCACAGCATTAGCGGAAGGCACAACGCTAGTAAAATCGGAATTATTTAGCGGGGTATTTAATCCACCTGTAAAAAAAGACCGTAGACCATTTTATTTATCGTTAAAAAAACTACACACTTACATAGTTAAATTTTAGAATATATTTCTAAATAAAATTATACCAACCTTTCAATGGAGTATCAACATGAGTAAGAGCCATAACATTTTGAGCTTCTTGAAGAATTCTGTCTGCAGCCGCGGGAGTACGAGGAGTTGCAGCTGCATTTGTTGGTAAAGAATAATCAGCCAGTAAACTATCCGATAATGTGATACCACTTTCAGTTGCAACTTCACGAGCAACCTATTGCAAACAGTATAAATTTTATGTAGTCATACAAGTCATGAAATTACAGTAATGCACACTTAAATGTCCGCGAAACCATATATCGATACAATGTATCGATAACGGCCGGTGTCAAGTTACACTCGATCTTCGAAGCCGCTTGACTTACAAGAATTGGTGGGGATAACCGTGGACACTTAAGCGGGCACTACTCTATTCAAGAAACAAACGGCACAATGTACCTCTGATGCTCTGCCAAGTTTAACAACTTGCTGCAGTTCTTGATCAGATATCTGTGGCTCTGGCAGAACTAGTTTACTCCTTTTTTTTATTGGTTCTTCATTATTGAGCATCCCCATTGGAATATCGTTTTCCTTGCGTTGTTTTAACTTTTGTTTGTCTTTTCTACGTTCCATTTCTTCCTTCTCTTGCCTCAGCTCGCCATCTAAATGTTGCTGTCTCATTCTTGAAAAATCGATAGCAAGGGGATCAACGTGCTCGTTAGACGTATCATAAAATCCGGATGCTGGCCGTTTCTCAAACGGAATTTCAGAATTGTAATTAACCCCGCGTTTGCGTTTGTTCTTTTGTGATACAGTAATACCAGCAGCTCTTAATTCTCTACGTTTTTGCAGAGCTGCAAGCCTGCGAGCTTCCTCCAATTGCTTTTCCCTGGCTTTGCGTTTTGCCTTTTTGCCTTGAGTATTTGCAAGCCTAGCACGTGCCTCGGATAACATCTCCAGTTCTGAAAATTGCTAAATTTATTTTTGTTACTCGTAAGAAGAAATAATAATTTCTAAAATAGAGACTCAACCATCTTCATCCATATCCTTGGGATCAGGTCTGGCAGGTTTTGTTTCTGGATTTGGATCAATTTCTCCTGGTTTTAACTTGCGAGGGTCATCTGCAGCATCATCTCCTTCTTCTTTCTTCTGAGCTTGATCGCTAATATACAGTGCCATGAAAATTATGTGAATCTTAATCATATACATAAATTGCATTGAACAGGCAAAGCTTTTTCTACATACAGTAAATATTCGTAACGTTCCAAACATTGTGCAGCTGTGCGTCCAATGATTGGAGCAATTGTTCTCCACTGTGTGGGCATCAATTTTGCAAGATGAAGAAGTTTCTCGTCTTCCTCTCTGCTCCATTCTGTTTTTTTAATACTTGGGTCCAACCATTCAAACCAACGTGCTTTACACTGTTTAGCAGATTTTCTGTGTAAGAGAGATGCTATTCGACTCCATTGATTTTTGCCATATTTCATAACAGCGGCTTTTAAAATTTCATCCTATAAAAACAAATATTGGTTTGGGAAATGATATTTGATAATCAAAATGTAAGTTTCAGGTTAGAAATTAAATCTTACCTCCGTGTTCCGCCAAACACCTCCCTTTATCATAATACGCGGCATTTTGTATGTATTTTATATTGTCATTTAAGGGAAAACGAAAAAACACAAAACTTTTGCTGATTGTCCCTATTTATTTGACAATTAATGAGAACCTCATTTGTACTGCAAGCCACCGATGGCAACGCTCAACTGAGCGCGAGCGCAAGCGGTCGATGCGATAGCAGAGACACAAGTGATTAATAAAACAAGTACTATCAATATAATCATTTAAAATACAGCTGTACTATTTTTATTATATTTTAGTACATATAAATAAATATGTTCATAAAAAAATAAGCACAGTAAATTCTTGACTTATTGGTTAATTCGTTCCAGAGTTTCCCGCATAAATCGAATTGTACGAGTAGTGATTGGATCGATATCGATACTATCGATCATATTCAATCAATTTGATGCCAAGACGTGGTATTAACTTTTTTTAGGTACCACATATTCAGGAACAAAATATTCTTTATGTTGATATACAAAGTTTTACTTGTAATATAAAACTAACGTTAATATTTATTTACAGCATATACAATGTAAAAGCTTAAATAATTTACATATCGTAAAATAGCTAAATAACAAATTTAAAAATAATTAACAGTTTACAGAATCAATATCATTATTTCGCCCTAAAGGAACAATATTATTCTGATTATTCACATTTGACTATTTTTACCTGTTTTACAAGTAAATTGTTTTCAAATTATCACATACAAAATTTTCCATAAGCCTCTGCAGTTTTTGTATGCTTCCTATAATAATTATTTGCTTCTGAAGTAAATAAACGGTTAAGCATATTGTTTTTATTGTATTTTACTTTTTTTATATTTTTGTTTTAGTTGATCTCTACTGATAATTATATACATCTATGACTATACATAAATCCATCTATCTACAAGAAATATTTAGATCAGTTCAATTGCTAAGGCAGTAAATTGATTATTGTATTGTTTATGATATCAAATTTATACCACAAGTGTGTGTGTATGTGTGCACGCGTGTAAACGACATTGTTTTTAAAACTTTTGAGAACTTCCCTTTCCTGAAGAACATCTTTGTTTCCTCCTGTTTTCTTGATGACCATTGATGATATAGAGCAAATTGTGTTATTGGTATTTTAACTTGAAATTTATTCCAGCAGACAGTACTTTTTGTTCTATTTTGTCGACGTTTTTTTCCCGGTTAAAAAATAAAATTTACCTTGATTCAGTTTAAATAAGAAATGATTTGAAACGCTTATTTACAGTATAATTACAACATTTGTTATCTACCAAACCTACTTCTAATTACTAATTCAGATATTACTTATACTAATTATTTTGTCACTTAAGTACATTGTACTACTCCTACATCACCTTCGTCGATGATATGTAAAAAACTAATTTGCAACTTGATCATTTTGAAACTTGTCTTTGAATTTCAAGGCTTCCAACTAAGAAAACTATCCTGTATAACTATTTGCTTGAATATACTATGCGTGATTGATTGCGGAGCTTTACGATTACGCTGAGCTTCTAAAATATACGAGACCTTTTCCCTAGCTTCGCTACGGGAAATATCGCCTCTGAGACCCAGTAATCTGACTAAATGATCCTCAGTCATATCTGGATATTTCTCAACCAACGAATGTAAATCGAGAGAAAGAATTTCAGAGTCTTCGCAACGCAACACTTCGGCAAGACGTTTGATTATTTCGAACGGAGAATTGAAATTTCCGACTTTCGGAGCAATTCGATCAAAAAAGTTCTTTAGTTTATCTGCTTCTGTCATTATTTTCGAAGTGCACGTTAAACATTCGTCATACGTTTTCAAAGATATTTTTCGTTGCATCATAGCAGAAATGTAACGTTTTGCAATTAGATTTTGCGCTTCCATAATGACGTATTCGAAGTTCTTTGGACAGAGATGGTTGTAATCTTGAAAATAATCTTCCAGTGTCACGCATATAGTCTCTACTGGAATTGGAGACGACAACCATTTGGGAGTAATTAAATCTTGAAAGTGTAACTCTAAATCCAAGAAAGATTCTTCTAGTAATATGGTTGCTGCTTCATTTCGCAACTGTTGATAATTTGATAGCAAATTTTCGAATTTAACAGTAGCATCTCCACTGGTATTGGAGACCCAATATATTTGTTTCATTTGTTGCGCTAATTCCGTAAATTGTAAACAATTATTAACAACCGTGATCATGTGATGTGTAAAATATGGTACTTGACTTCTGTCTTCGAAATGTTTACTTTTAAATTCTAACATTGCTTGCCTATACATAAATCCATATTTGATAACTTGTTCGATGCATAGAACTAATGCTTGTGCTGTTAAATTGGAGCTGATAGTTTTTGTAACTTGCAGATTCTGATCGATCATTTGAAATATAATTACAGGGGCTGCTGTGTGATAGTATGCCTCTTGAGTACTTCCTTCCGGCAATACTCCGCACCTCCAGTCGACCTTTTCAGTTTCTAAAGTCTTTCTCATCCAATCCTCGTAGTTTTGGCACATATTTTTCAAATATTTTTCTTGTAGGTCATTTATAATTTCAGGACTTAACAAAGGACCAATATCGCTCGTATCGATATTTAATTCAGTATGTTGCATCAGCTCTGGCCCGGTATAGGTATTCATGATCCATGACAATAGCGAAACATATTCATTTCCTTCTAAACCATTGGCAATTATGTCTTTTAAATGCTGAGACAAGCTTGTGTGATACATTTTAACAAAAGTTCTTACAATGTTATACCAAGGTGGAAAACAGGGTTCGCATAAAGTTTTAACAACTCTCAAGTCTTCCAGAATTAGAAGCCTTGTAAGTTCCAAGTATCTAACTAACCACATTTTATTATCTACTCTTTCTTCAACATGAGTCCCTTCAATTCTATTAGCCACAGATTTTTCAAGGACCTTCATTGACATATCTTTCCACTTCTTAGGTCTTCCTGGTGGCATAAATCCACTTTGTTTATGTCTCTGAATAGCAAAATGATCTGCCTTCTCTTCTCTTTCTATAATTCTTAAAGCTGTTACAATTACTGTAGGTTCTTTTCTGACAGTGTTCAATGTACGGCTTAGAACCAACCTGATCTGTTTTTCCATTAGCTGCGAAAGCATTTCAATGTCTTCCAAATAAGCCTTTAACATAACCGTGTCAGCTGGTGATTGATTTGGTAGTTTATGAAGTTCGTACAATAAATCGTCTCTTGAATTTTCAAGATCCATGATGCTCTGATGAGCATGCAAAAGTTTGCCCTCGTTTATCCACTGTTTAGTCTTTTCGACACTGTCGGGTACCGTAAATGTATGCTTCAAATTTTCTTTGGCAGTAACGTATTGCGAATGACGCATGTTTTCATCCTGAACAGCTTGCAATTTCGCATTTAATTCCGGAACTTGTTCAAACAACTCACCAATGTCATTTAAGTCCTGCTTTATAGAAGCAATACTCTCTAAGGAACTTTGGAGTTGTTCAAAACCTACACGAACTCCATCTAATTGACTTTGCATTGCAGTTTTGAGCATAGTTTCAACGGAAGCTTTCTTTCGACTTATTCTACGTTTGTACATATCAATTTTTTCCAATTGACCCGGACGTTGCAACAAATTTGACACATATTTTGTTGCCCTTGCCTTGGCTTCTTCTTCCAATTTTTGTAGATCTTCCATGTCTGAAGCTGTTTTTCGTTAATTTACCTTACCTTATAAAAGTATTACTTATAAAACGTGGGGAATAACGAATCCCAATTAATTAGATACATGCAAATGAAAAGCGTGGAAAGATATTTTGACATTTATAAAACCTTGGTTAGGTACTTTAAGATGCGTTTGCACTAAAGAGATTGTAGTATCAATGAACACACCATAACTGCTTAAAATGCAATACGTTCGGAACATAATGTTCCTATGCAATTGTCCTATGAAAATGCACTGTAAAGATTTTGTAAATTGACTTCTCTCTTGATCATTTAACATAAATAATATAACTATAAAAAGTTTTCGGTGTTTTTTGAATAAAATTTAGTATTACAAATGCATTCTTTAAAGAGATTGTCAGGAACAATTAATCAGTACTGTAAATATAACTTAAAAAGATGTTTAGCCTCAAAACCAGCAGAAAATAGAAAAATTGAAGCAGAGAAAGGTAAATAATTTAAAAAACTCTATTAAAATATCAATAAAATTAAGTTAAGCAAATTTTATTCTTCTACCAAGATTTTTGTAGACCATTGTATCTAGTAATAACTCTAAATGATTGCAGAGAAGAATATTGTGATAGATCGTATCAAAGGAGTCACAATAATTGGTATAAATCGCCCGCAGACAAAGAATTGTTTAGACACTGCAACAGCACAAGAACTGTCGGATGAATTGGAGAAATTTGAAAATGACAAGGAGTCTGTAGTTGGTGTACTTCATGGTATTGGTGGTAACTTTTGCGGCGGCTATGATCTTAAAGAAATAGCCAAATACGATGGAACGAACGAGGAAACATTACCACAATTTGGGCCGTTGGTAAAATCTTTGAATTCTTGAATGTCTATAAAAAGTTGTTCATATTGTATTAGTTAATTATTCGATTATTTCTAGGCTGATAAAATTGAATTAGTTAAAAAACCATTGGTTGCTGCTATAAGCGGATATGCTATAGGCATAGGATTTGAACTTGCCTTAATGTGCGATATAAGAATAATGGAAGACAGTGCAGTATTAGGATTTTTTAATAGACGTTTTGGTATTCCCATACTGTGTGGTGGTACTGTACGCTTGCCTGCTCTAATTGGATATGGAAGAGCAATGGAACTTATCTTAACAGGCCGTGCTATTTCTGGACATGAGGCATTTAACTGGGGTCTAGTTAGTCGGTGTACACATACTGGTTCAGGTAGGGTTTCAATTATAATTGTAAATATACCACTGATGAATTGATGATGAACTGTTTTTTATTTGCAGTGCTAGGTAGTGCAGTAAACTTTGCGAACTCATTTCTTAAGTTCCCACAAAAACCTATGCTTGCCGATCGTGTTTCTACTCATTTTGCTACGTTTTCTGCTAAACAACTAGAGGAAGCTTTACAGTTTGAGAAAGATAATGCATCTCATTTATTATTCGAAGAGGGTGTTAGAGGAGCAAACCGATTTGTCAATGAAAAGCTAGGTAGACATGGTAAATTTTATAATATAACGTCAATAGATGTAAGTTTTAAAGAATTGGATAAAGATCTTTTGTAAAAATTTAGTAATACGTTACTGTACTCAACATGACTGATTTTGTTAAAAGAGAAAATAATCGCAACTGTACAAATTTATTTATATTATTTTATTTTTAATGTAGATTTAATAAATGAATCTTTTCTATGCGACACGTGTGTTTTCAATAGTATGTCATTGCACCTTTTCCCTGTTTTTCCACCGATGAGCGGCGTGAAATTGATCATTTGACCATTCGCGTCACCTGCGTAAATAATATTTAAAATAAATGGTATTCTGTACAGGGTGTTCGGCCATCTCTGGGAAAAGTTTATTGTAATTGACAAAAATTATTGTTTCAGAACGATTTGAAATTTTTTAATTTCGACGAAAAATTTCACACCTCGAATTTTTTTCTCGAAAGTGGGTAGGATTTCGAGGGTACGTCTATTCACCAAAAATGATTTTACTTAACCCCTGCAACCGAAAATAATTTTTCCAGAACGATTTGAAATTTTTTAATTTAATTTTTTAATAACTTTTTAATGAAGCCTCAAGAAATTGATATTCTTGATTTTCGTCTTATTTTAGAGGTGGCCAATCATCCTGTATAATGTGTATACTTACGTTGATACACGACTATTAAATACGTTAAATTTGCAACAAAGACGTCGAGACCAGAAGTACGAGGCTCAAAAAAGGAAACTTTTCTTAATAGACAATTAACTTCATCGCACAAATCGAATTCAGCTGAAAATATCTGCGTGTTTACAGTTTACGAATTTTTCGAATTAGAAATTTTTAAATTAAGTTTCGCTCACTCGTGTCTTCCAAGTTCACAACATTCCGAATGTAATTCAGTATCAGTTTGAGCGGGCAATCGATATTTATTAACAACTCCTTTTCTGCCTCTTCGGACGGTACATTTCCCTCGTCGTTATTAACTGAAATTGTAGATCAAATATGTACATATTCGGGGTACGATCTTCGCTGAGAACATCGTATATCGAAAACATTCTTACCAGCATATTTAATTCGAATAATTGATGTCATTATTCCATCAATAATGGAGAAATACGAGAATAGGACGAATTAACCTTACTTTGATCTATAGATTTTTGTCAAGGAATCTATTGTATATCGAAAGGTTAAAATAACCGAAAATCGTTCGATATATCGTTGCTTTTAAATTTCGATTATTCCACTATCCAAATAATTTCATAGGTATTTGAATGCAATGGATAAATTTCGAATGTCATTGCGATCATCTATGTTCTTGTATACCCATAATATAAAAGTACTTCGATACATCGATAGATCGATGCGCTCCTAACGATAGGCAACCCGATGCACGCGTGCGTTGAGAACTTTCCATTACCTTTTGTAGCTCCTCCATTTTTCCATTTAAAAAAGTTACGGTTCTTCTAAATATGCGAAGAATATTATTTTTATCAGCACCGTACGTTATTCTTTGTTGGGAATAAAATTCCCTCGACTCAGTATAGGTTCGTCTCCCGCATAGCAGATGCATCCGATGCACTCGATGCACTGGGTTGTGCACCATGGGCGCGATAAGGTTTCTTTAGGGTGGTCACCGTCGCCGATGCATTCATTGGACTGGAATTCGGAATAATGGTGGAATTTCATATTCAAGTTGAACAACAACGACCGTCCGCAGGCTTAATTGGCGAAAGTAATGCGAACCGGCCAACCACAGTCGAGCCAGTTGAAGCTGTGTGACGAAACGAGTGCAGGTGGCGGTGCATTGTTGCGCAATCGTTCGTATCCCTCCTCCTCCTCCTTGTAACCAGGAGTCAGGACGAGAGTCCCCTTCGTAACCAGAAGGTCCTCCCCACCAACTGTGCCTTCCTCCCTGCTCGACCCGGTGAATGTTGCGCCCGCAAATCCGCGCGATCAGCGTCCACGGCTGTTCTTTCTTTCGTTTCTTCCTTCTATCTTACCTTTCCCCAAGGACTCTAGCCACCTTTTTGTTGCTCCTCCTATGGACGACCTGTTGGGGCTTTCGAAACGACGTTTCTGGATCTTCGTCGCGATCGATCTCCTCTTCTCAAACGAGAAGGACACACCGGAGACGCTCTTGTCGATGAATTATCATTCTGAGGATATATATCAAAAGCATTCAATTTTTTTTATTCCTCAATGATCTTCGATGCGAGAAGATCGATGAAACTTAAAAGCAAATTGTTCGAAAGAAGAAGAACGTTAATGATCAGGCGAAAGAAGAAGACCTGGTACGAAAGACAAAAGGGCGGTTCTCAGGGTCTTCTTTCCGATCAGCGTCTACGTGGCATTTGAGAGGAAGATGCCAGTGCCTTTCACGAATCACCACGCGATCCTACAATGTGTTATTGTTACCAGCGAACAGGCGATAGAAAAATTCTTTCCGATGGGAGAGGCAAATCGACACGTTTCTACTACTCGTAAGCTAGTGTCGCTCGCGTTGCAGAAACAATGCTTCATTTTTCATTATATTCATAACGAATGAAATTCATTTTGATTCATAATTTGGATTCTTCATCGAAACGTCTAATATTCGCCACCAGAGGGCCACGCTCTCGTCTTTCTCGCAAGCACTCGACCGATCCTCCGTTTCTATATACACACTTCTCGACTAATAACCCAATATTCCGCTATCCAAGGGTTTTATTAGGAGTACTTCATATCCATCCTTTGTAAGACCCTATTCCTCTACTTCTGTGACTTCCATTAACCCCCAGCGTTGTCACTTTAATTCATAATTTGGATTCTTCATCGAAACGTCTAATATTCTAGAATCTCTGTCAATCCATTGTGCTCCTTCACTCTGTGGCGTCACCTCCCGTATTCGCCACCAGAGGGCTGTGCTCTCGCCTTTCTCGCAAGCGACCGATCCTCCGTTTCTATATTATACACTCCTCGATTAATTACCCAATATTCCTTCGTCTAAGGGCCCTATTAAGAATTCTTCGTATCCACCCTTTGTAAGACCCTGTTCCCCTCCTTCTGCGACTTCCATTAACCCCCCAGCGTCGTTTGTCGGTTCGAAAACCCCCTTTTGCTATTCTTGCGAGCATTTCCATACACGACTAATAGAATCTCAGAAATATCAGTAATAAACAATACGAATACGGTTGGAATTTCGTTTCGTGGTACGGACACTTGGCGGTTTACTGAAATTACGTACCACGAGCGGCTCGTTTCGGGCCCACTTTCCTCCTTCGTCCGTGCCATTACGCGCGCCGACGGAGCCCCGGGAAAACGGATTCAACCTAAGCAATTTTCATACGCTGTGCCATGGCAGGACGAGAGTCAGTCGTTTCGGGGTCCTTTATACGGTGCACCGCGTCTCTGTCCATTCTGCAGCTCGCGTTGATCGTATCCCGCATGCCACTTAACCATTACGTTTTACGAGGCGGATGGACGTAAAATACCCTCCCCCTCCGGTGTCCAGCAACAGGTTACGTCGTCGTCTTGCGTTTCGCGAACGACCACGACGACGAAAGGGGAATATTTTCCAGGCAGGATCGACGTGTCCTGGCGTATCCCGTGAAATTTACCACGACTGTTTCAGCGCTCGAACGTCCACCGCGGATCGACGAGAGTCGCCTCTATGACGCGAATTTATGCCATCTTCTTGTTCTCCGCCCTATCGTTATCACCAGCGTCCGGCTGAGGCTCTCGTGCCTGTTCCAACGAGGATAGAAAACGATAACAACGTGTTCTACAGGGTGGATACGAAACTAGCCACTAACGATAAGAACAGAACGATTCTTACGGAGTAAAAGGTTTTACAATCTTCGAGGATCGGTTTGGGATCGTAAAAGTTGATCTCTCGCGCTGTACTGAACCGTACGAGTTTAACTTCTGGAAATCTAATCTAGGAAGATTATAATTCTCGTCGAGAATCGTGATCTACTAATAAGGAGGATAGTTTTTTCGATAATTTGGGATTTCAACGTTCGAAAGACGTGTTTACTCTTGTAGGGAGGCGTGGGTGGACGATCGAGGTACAGTAGAAGCCAGCGCGACTCTGTTAAGGTTGATATCTGAACTTTACGATGGCTTCTGCTTTAACTTTGCAGACCAGTTGGGATCTCGAACGATCGTTTGTCCGCTCGACGAACGATTTAAACGATCGTAAAGCTCGCAATGTGCGAATCGAAACACTTGGTCGGCCAGCACTATGACTTTTCTGGGCAAAAGACTTTTCAGATCGTATTTTGCGGAGTTAAATTCGAAAAATAAAATGGAAGCTCCGTGTTACGTTTGTTTTTCCAAAGACGACGAAGAACGTTTTAATATAAGGAAATATCGATAGGTAGCCAATTACGACAACCTTCCTCGACGTATACTATTTTTCTTTGATCACGACTGGCAGTACATTCTTCGCGAACGTATTTCCTGAATACAGATCGTCGAGTCGTCCGTTAAGAGGCGCATCCAGCCACTCCGGTGCATTCGCATAAACAGTGCGCGCGGCTAGCATTCTATTCCGGAAAAGCGAGGTCCTTGAACTCGATTCCTCGACACATCTCGAGCTACCTGCCCGCGGAGTAGTCCTTTATCCGTACGTACAGTCGTATGCAAAACGCATCTTTCACGCGTGGCTCGCGTACACGCGTACCGGCTCGATAATATAAACAGGGCGTGGCTCCGTGGATGAGCAGATTTCCCGCGAAACTTCGCCGACGAGAAGATCGATTTGCATGAAATTGAATCTCGAAAACTGGCCACCGGTTACCACGTCCAACTTTCGACGAAACGGTCGGAGGCACTTTAGCGATGGCTATGGAATATAAACTACACAGCTTTCGTTAATTCCTGAAATCATAGCGGCGATGGAAGATGTTTAGTTTATTTTTATTCCGATTTTTTAGAGTAAATTTATATAAAATTGAAAATAAAAGAATTTTTTTCTCCAAAGTGATCACGATTTCGGGGGTATGTGTATTCATCAAAAATGTTTGTAATTGACCCCTGGAATTATAAATAATTTTTTTAGAACGATTTGAAAATTGTTAATTTGGAGAAAAATTTAGGCATCTACTGAATTTTTTTCTCGTAAGTGGTTAGGATTTCGGGGATATGTCT